GGAGAGCCCCGAGGCAGGTCTGGTGCCATTAGTCCAGCGTGGGTTTCTCATCCTCAGCACTCTTCACATGTGGGACTAGATGAGTCTTTGTGGCAGGAGGCTCTGTGCGCTGTCTTTTTAGCAGCATCCCTGGCCAGTACCCACTACAGACCAGTAGAAGCTTCCCAGTTGTGAAATCAAAATGTCTCCAGACATTGTCAACTATCCCCTGGGGAGCCAAATCCCCCCGAGCTGAGAACCCCTGCTCCAGCAGGCAGAGTGTAACCAATATCATTAGTCACCCAAGGTCTGAGGGGAGCCCATGATGCAGAGCACGTGTCCTGGCAGAGATGGGTGGGTCGGGCATGTGGCAGAGCTGGTGGCAGGTGGTCGGCTGCAGGCACCAGGAGGCATAGGTGGGGGCTAGGACCCCAGCTTCTGGGAGCCCAGCAGTCAAGCAGGGTCAGAAGATGGCTCAGATGGCTCAGAGGGCACCCTGCCACTCTTGATGTCGCCTGTCCAGGACCAGGACTGGATCCAGAGACTGGATGGGACCAAGTCCAGGGTCGAGGTGGAGGGGACTTACCTGCCCACTTTAGAAGGGGCTGAGGGCCCAGCTGCCCCTTCCACCCGTGAGAACTTCATGACCTCCAACCAGGAGAACACAGGCTTTGCAGCAAGACAGACCAGGTTCAAATCCAGGCCCTACTATATGGAAGTAAAAGCTAAACAATAAAATTAGGCCAGGCATGGTGACTCATGCGTATAATCCCAGCACTCTGGTAGCCCGAGGCAGGCAGATAGCTTGAGCTCAGGAGTTTGAGACCAGCCTGGGCAACATAGTGAAACTCCGTCCTTACGAAAAATACAGAAATTAGCCAGTGCTCTGTTAGAGCTAGTAGACAGAGCCTACTGGCTCCTAACAGAGCCAGTAGCTCTGTTAGGAAAACCCCTCGAATTGTGCCTGGCACCTGATAAGGACCATAGAGGACTATGCAGTGACAATGGTGGTGGCAGTGTGGTGATGTAAAAACCCTCAAAATCTTCAGTAGAATTTATATCTCCCAGGGGTAGACCCAGCAAACTGCACCTCCTGCCATCCGGCTGAGTGTCGAGTCTTGTCCCAGCTACCTGGCTGCATCTGGTGACAGCTATGCAGCTGAGACTGCTAACAACAGGCAGGGCTGCCCTCAGTGAAGAAGGTGTGTGGTCTCAGCTACTCAGGAGGCTGAGGTGGGAAGATTGCCTGAGCCCAGGGAGGCTGAGGCTGCAGTGAGCCGTGACTGCACCACTGTACTCCAGCCTGGGCAATGGAGTGAGATCCTATCTCAAAAAATAATAATAATTAAATTTTTAAAACTTTAAGAATCAGATGCCATCATCTAAGAGCAAGGTGACCACCTTAGGCAGGTTGCGTAACCTCTAAGCCTCAGGTTCCAAGTCTATGGAAGGGGTGACAATGCCAACCTCACAAGGTTGTCGTAAAGACCAAGTGCGGGGTTATAGTTCCCATACTTAGCACCGTGTCTATGTCTGCCGCATAATGAGCACTCAGGACATGTTGATTGAATGAATGAAGGAATGAAAACGTGAATCTTCCTACAGCAAACCTTTCTCGCTTAAACCCTCATGTTTGTTTTAGTTCTCATCTCTGGAATTTCTCCAGCTTTCTAACATAGGAAACTGTTGACTTCTCAGCAGGAGGAAATGAGTTATTCATCTCTGTATCACCAGAGCTTTGCATCAGGCCTGGTAGATAATAAGTGCTTAAAAAATGAAGTTTTCCTTCCTCAGAGGACAATGAGTATATTTTATTCATGTTTAGAGAGCCATAGCCCAGCACAGTGACTCACACACAGTAGGCATTGTTAAGTGTTTGTTGAATGAACGAACATACAAAAAGTGGCTGGAAAAAAAGGCACGACCCAGAATGCTACCCCAGAATTCTTCATGGGGGTCCATCCCTGTGTGTCCATTTTGGGGGAGCATGGCCGGCTTGCTCAGAGGAGGTGGGTCAAACCCCGGGGGAGAACGGTAGTGGCCTTAGCAGGAAGCTGAAGCAATGGGTGACAGACATCAGCAGGGAGGTCTCAGGCAGAATGTCCCCACCTTGGATGGCTGCTGTGATCCTCCCCTGACAGCCTGCTTGCGGGCTGCTCAGCCCACCTGAGGGGGCAGGGACATCTTCATAGTTCTCCCTGCTGCAAGAAACAGGTGTCCTCCTGACGAAGCAGCAGGTGCATGGGCGGAGTCCGGGTGTCTTCCTCCTCTCTCAAGATGTGGTAGTGTGGGCTGTAGCTCAGCAGGATCAGCATGAGATATGGTGTGCTCTGTTAGGAAGACCCCAGGATGGGGAGTCAGGAGATTGAACGTCCCACCGCCATTACCCGCCCACAACGTGGCCCTGGATGGTCACAAATCTCCCTGGGCCTCTCTTCCTCCATCTGTACTGTGGGGACTTGGTAATGCCTTGGAGTGACTCCATCCTTTGGTGCCCAGCCAGGGTAATGGGAACAGCCAAGTGGCCCACATGGGAGAGCAACTAGTGACATCCAGGCACTGCTATATTTTGCAAAGCCATCAGCTCCCCAGCATCTTAGAGCTGCCAGGCATTGAACACAGCATCAGGGGAAGCATCTGCTTGGAAACCCGGGGTTGTCCCAGTGCAGGCCTGTTTGATGAAAGTTGCCAGGGGCAGGATGGCAGTTGGGTTTTCCAAGGCACCTGAAGATTTTCCAGGGGGACACATGAAGACCATCCTTAACAGGGGAAAAAATGGTTTGTGAGAGAGAAAGCCTTATGTTATAGCACCCGTATATCTCTTCCCCTTCCTATGGCACAGCATTAGCTCACAAAGAGGATTTTCCTGTTTCTGAAGTTCCTGTAAGGGACAGGTATGGGGAGTGGCAGCCTGGCTGAGCTTGGCAGAGCCAGATTCCCTTCCATAGGACAAAGGTGCCTGTGAAAGACAGAAGAGAGGGTTGCGTCTAGAGAAGGGGACTGGAGGCTGACCATGACAGGCATCCCAGGGGGAGGCCTGGAGAGGACTTGGTCTGCAGGCAATAAGGTGGTCGGGGGTAGGTTGCTTTCTGAGTGAGAGACAGAGAGAGAGGCACTGTAGAGAAGGGTCCAGAGCTCTACCATTTACTAGCTGCATGGGCCTGGGGAGTCACTCAACCTTCCTGTGCCTCAGTTTCTTCATCTGTAAGGTGGGAACGATAGAACCTACTGCATAATGGAAAATCCCTCGAATTGTGCCTGGCACCTGATAAGGACCATAGAGGACTATGCAGTGACAATGGTGGTGGCAGTGTGGTGATGTAAAAACCCTCAAAATCTTCAGTAGAATTTATATCTCCCGGGGTAGACCCAGCAAACTGCTCCTCCTGCCATCCGGCTGAGTGTCGAGTCTTGTCCCAGCTACCTGGTTGCATCTGGTGACAGCTATGCAGCTGAGACTGCTAACAACAGGCAGGGCTGCCCTCAGAGCTCCAGCCTGTGTCACTGGGGGCCTCACCAGAGCCTGCCACAGTGGGAGCCAGGGCCCCATCGGGCCTGGCAGGCGCAAGGCATCTGCCCTCCATGTGGCTGAAGCATCCCAAAATTGCCACAGGCTGAATTTTGTCACCAGCCTGCTTCTCATGCAGAGGACATCTCCCCCAGCCAGGAGGAACAGATTTCCCAGCTGGGCTGGTCCCTCTGGCTGGCTGGGCTCAGGGGATATTTTCAGATTCTGGGTGACATTCCTCTGCCACTCAGCCTAATGGCTCCCAGATGCTCCCCCTGCCCCGTGCTCCCTCCCGCTTGTTCTGGGCCCTGCATGCAAGGCCCGGGCCTGGGGCTTGCTCACCCAGGCTCTACACCTCTTGACTTTTTCTGTTGCTTTTAATCTAAAACATTTTGTCCCGCTTAACATGATGGCTTGACAGAGGCCAGCATGAAAGAGGCTGTTTCTTCCTGGATGGTGACCAGGGCAGAGAAGCGGACAGATAAAGGAGGAAAGAAGGAAGCCGGCTCTGGGAACGGGAGGAGCACGGGGAAACATAGGAGCCTTTATTGGCTGAGCATAAAAGAAGCAACAGGAGTCGCAGCTGAGTTAACGTGGCCAGGGCACTAGGGGCCGGGCAGACGCACCAGGCCCAGCTGGGAATTGCCGGGAGGGTGGGGTTTCGTGGCTCATGTTCGCAGAAGTGCCTTTCCTTCCCTATCCTTCGCGGCTGCTTTTCTAAACCTTCCCTCCCGCTCCCCAACCCTACTCCTTTTTTCTCCCTCTCGGAACACTTGAATTTGTCATTCTTGGCTGTTGCCAGTAATGAGATAGGGCTGCTGCTGCGGCCGTGGGAGGGAGGTGGGGAGTGGACACCAGAAAGAGAAAGGAACAGAAAGAGGCATGGAGGAGGTGGGGCTGGAGCCTGAGAGGGGACTTTGAGAAACAGGCTGTGGGTGGCAGACCCTGGAGGGGTGAAGTGCCTAACCCACTGTTAAACAGAAACCAGGATGGGCCGATGGGCCGATGGGCCGATGGGCCGATGGGCCTCAGGCAGGGTACACAGTGGCCATCCACGCCCACCCCTGCCTGCCTGCTGGCCCTCCCTGCCATGGCCCAGTGAGGACACCGGCATGCTAACAGTCCTCATCTCTGCAGGATCTGTTATTTCCACCTTTCTCAGTGTGCCCACTGTCCCGTGTTCTGCAAAGCAGCCTTGTACACAAGTTCAGGCGGGTCACGAAAAGCCCATTTTGTGGGGTGGGAAGCTGAGGCAGAAGGGCCACCAGCAGGTCGCCAGCAGGGCTGAGCCTGGGGCCCAGACCTCTGGATTTCTCATCCAGTTATGAAAATATGGAGATGAAATAAAGGGGGAAGAGATTATATTGGTGAAATTGGGCCAGGAAAAGACACACTTCGAAGACCAGATGGAAACCCCTCCGCTGCAGAATCCTTGGACGCTGCTCCCAAGGCAGCCTCCCCACCGCCCCTACAGCAATGACACTGACCCAGGCATTTTCTCTCTCTCTTTCAGGACCTCCTGTAAGTACTCAAGCCGAGGGTCTCATGCATCTGAAAGGCCTGTGTCACTTGCTGGTAATGGGGTTCTGGGTGGGGACACTGCAAGCTGGGCCCCTGCTGTCTTGGGGAGGGCCTATGCGGGCTCCCGAGGGGTCCCTCCAGAAGGCTTCTTGTAGGGCGGAGGCTACCATTTTGCTTTTCAACCACCTCTGCACCCCTCCAGGGCAAGACAATGGCTGCCCCCAGGGCAAAACAGGCCCCAAGTTTCAATCGAAAAGAATGGCTTTCCCTCTAATTAGCTCAGTTCTTTTGTCCCCCAAAGAAGCTATTGGAGTCAAAAAAAAAAAAAAAAAAAAAGCACTAGGCATTAGAAAGAAGAAAAGAGATCATCTCTCCTCAGTTCTCCTTGAAAAGTCTCAGAAAACAGGTCATCGAGCTGGCTCCAAGCGTGGTCTGCTCCAGAGGACTCATGTCCACACCCCTGAGTGGGCAGCTCTATTCTGGCCAAGTCACTTTGGGCAGGTGGTGGTGGTGGTGGTGGCAGTGGTTATGTGAGGGAGAGCGGTGTCAGCCGGTTAGACTGGGAGACAGCACATAAGTTATAGGCAGCACGCCGCACTCCTTCCTGGCCTTGCTAGGAAGCCCAGGGTGGGGCGCGGGGTGGAGCCACTTCCAGAGAACCTGAGAAGAGCCCAAGGAGACTGCCCCCCTGAAGTAATGGATCCGGAGAACAGGAGCACCAGTCTTTGATATCCCAACAAAAGACCAGAGGGCGCTGGGGGAGCTGGAGATAGGAGTTGAAAGGGCCCAGCCCTCACATCAGATCTTTCTCAAGGTTGCTGAAATCAACCCTATCATCATCCCTTCCTTGGAGAAGTCATTTCCATAGTTGTTTTCCTCTTAATGTGTACCTGTGGGAGCTGCCTGCTTAATTTTTAGTAAAGGCCATTACTGAAGACTCCATTTGTGCCCTGAAAGGCCCTTGCACCCATGCTGAGGATCCCATGCCCCCTGACACATCACAGTGAGGCAGGATCTGTCATGTCATTGCTTGAAAGGAAGGATAATTTATTAAGGCGTGTTTGGTGTGTCAGATCTTAATTCCCTTCATCCATCTTCCAAAATAAACTCTGCCATAGAGAGCTTTCACCTGTTGGAAATGTGCTGCTTTTCCCTGTCTTATTCCGAGGAAGCCACAAGAGCCTTCAACTGCTCCCACCCTGCCTTGGGGCCTCCTGCACACACCTCACCCCCAGGACCGGGATGCCAGGACAGCTCTGAGTCCCTGCCTGACTTGAGGGTCCTTCCCTCAATAGTAATTTTGCATTCTGAGAGCTGGTGCTGGCCCAACCCAGGGACTGTTCCCAGACCCCTTTGGGTCTGTGCTGAAGGAGCCCATGAGGTGGAAGGGATGAGCCTCCACTCAGTCTCTGTCCACAGAGTGAAGGAGAAAGGCCCAGGTAGCTTTCCCCACATTCTGAGCCCAGCGCAGAAGAGGAGCCCTGAACCTTTGCCCAGTGCTGGCTGAAACCACAAGGCAAGAGGAGGAGGAAATGGGAAGCTGACCAGGGCAGGAATCATCTCCTCAGCCCTGTTATCTCTGCTTCCTGCAAAAGAAGAATGCTGGTGGCCAGAGAGAAGGGCTCTGAGATGCCTGTCTGCTGCCCTCTGGGTGTATCCTGGGGGCTGGCTCTGTCCTCCAACAGGAAGACCCAGGTTCCTGTGGGCACAAGGTCAGCCAGTGCCTGAGAACACAACCATGCAGGATGGATTAAAGCTGCAGCAGGAACCATTTAGGTGGAAGCAAATTTGCAGCCACCACTGCCCCACCCATCATGCCCTTGGCAGACATTGCTAATCAATTAGGAGGCTTTTTTAACATAACCCATTAGTCTGTTACTCCCAATCCATTGGTGTCAGTGCTCGAGCTGACATCTATTGGCCATCCCTGGATTCGATTTAAGGGAGAATTTCTTAATACTGGGAACTGTGAGACTGAAAACAGATGACCAAGGGAAGTAGGGATGTATCTTTCTCTGAAGGAATACAGCGAAATATTTGCCAGCAGCTGCCAGGCCTTGCTGAATATGATCCTTGCTGAAATAGTAGCTAACACTTACTGTGTGTTAGACACTGTTATGTTTTTATGGAGGCAGTGTAACATAGTGATTATGAGCATGGGCTCTGGGGCCGGACCAACTGCAGTCAAATCCTGGCACTGCCACTTTTTGCTTTGTGACCTTAGCAAGTTACTTAACCTCTCTCTGCCTCAGTCCCCTTATCTGTAAAATTAGAACACTAATGATATCTGCTTCATATGGGTGTTGTAAGGAATATGTATGTGTGTACTATATATCTATATATATATATACGCACACACACACACACACATATATATATATGTATTTTTTTTTTTTTTTACTTAGGACATATTAATTCATTTAATCCTAAAAGAATAAGGCTTCCCTCAATGATGCCCAAAGATTTTTTGCAAACCTTTAATTTTTTTTTTTTTTTTAGAGGCAGGCCTCACTCTCACCCAGGTTGGGGTGCAGTGGTGTGATCATAGCTCACTGAAGCCTCAATCTCATGGGCTCAAGTGACCCTCCTGCCTCATCCTCCCAAGTAGCTAGGTCTACAGGCGTGTGCCCCCACACCTGGCTAATTTTTTTAATTTTGTTTTTAGAGACAGGGTTTTGCTATGTTGCCTAGGCTGGTCATGAACTCCTGACCTCAAGCCATCCTCCTGCCTCAGCCTCCCAAGTGGCTGGGTAAACCTTACATTTTAAGGAAGAAATTATGATTTTGTGAATTTTTGTTAATGAGTTTATTATTTTATTTATATCTACCCCATCCCATTCCAAGAAACATTTTAGGAGGATTTACAAGCTATCTAAGGAAACAGGAGGTAAGGGGTGGAGAACAGAGGCAGGAAAGCAAGGGGAATCCAGAGCCATGGTACCGCAGCATCCTGTGCAGATGAGCCACACACTCGGCTCTGAGCTTCTCGGTGGTCAGAGCAAAGAGGAAAGCAGAGCTTTGGCAAGGGTCGGAGTGCAGTAAGGTAGGAGCGCGCCTGATGCTTGGGCAAGGCACAGCTTTTCCTGAGAATGGGGCCTGAAATCAGTTTCCCTCATGTGTCCTCGTAAGGGTGGCACGATATGGATGGTGTCGGTTGTAAGGACACAGCAAGCAAATTGCCCCTTCTGTTCCTATTCAGAGTAAACCCACTGCATGAGGTTGGGACCCTCCTCACCTGGGCCCCTTCCCTTCCCTGGGATGGGAGGTCACTGCCCCACTTCTCAGCCCACTCTGTGACATTAGGGGACAGGCAGTTTAGAAGCACGAGGAAGAGGGCATTGGTTCAGCACTAAAGCTCTGGTTTAAGGGACGCAGTGCCTGGTCTGTCCTTGTGGGGGCCTGGGAAAGCAGGGCTGTTGCCAGGTTCCTGGTATCCGCAGGCAGATTCATTCATTCGTAAATGTGTCTTAAGGACTACTGTGAGCTCCACATTGCTGAGGCACTGGGGACACATTCGTGAATGAAACAGGAAAGTCCCTACCTCAGGAGCTCACATTTTAGTGCTATGGGGCAAAACCAGCAACATGACGGGATGGCGACAAGTCCTGTCCCCATGAAGTCTGTAGCCCCACGTTCCCCAAGGACCCCCCTCCCCCGCGACTGGCGGGCGTCACTGCACCACCACGGAGGGGATGTCCTCAGGAACAGAGGTTAGAAGGGGTGACTTACTCCTGGTGCTGCCTGAACTTTTCTCAGTAGCCCTACAGGGACTTGTCTCCCAGGGAACACCCCAAGACCCACTCCTGGTTCTGCCTTCAGTTTATGGGAAGAGCAGGACGTCTGGAAAGAGAGGAACTGTATGTGACAGCAGGGTCTCTGGAGGGAGAAACCAAGGCCAGCCCCATGGCCGTCTCTGGCCTGTCCTCTTCTCTTCTAATAATCATGGTAATAGCTGCATTTATTTAGGACTTGCTATATGCCAGCCGCTGTGCTCAGTGCTTTACATACATTCTCTCATTTGATCCTAACAGATAGGTAATGATTATTCTTCCATTTTCAAGATGAGAACATTGAGGTACAGGGAGACCAAGGCACTTGCTGAAGGGTACCCAAGTAGTAAGTGGCAGAGCCAAGAGGTGAACACAGGTGGGCTGTCTTCAGGGCCAGAACTGGAAGGAAGCTTCATGAGCCTTAGTGATCAAGCCTCCCCCTTCATTTTGTTCCTAAAATAACAAAGGCCCACCCAAGTGGCTTGCCAGGGTCACACAGCTGGTTGGGACAGTGCTCAACAGTTAGGTGTTGCAATACCCTGCCTGACCTATGGAAACTTTACTCTTCATTTAGGGTCCCACTGGAAGACCTGGACTCCCAGTAAGTAACTTTTGTTTCTTCTTTCCTTTGCATCTCTTTTACGTGCTGTTTCGCAGTCTGAAGACTGGCTAGGTTGGGTGGCTGGTTTTTCTCCACGTGTATCTGGGTGACAGGCCACTCTCCAGAATCCCCGATCTATAGCTTAGGGTGAAGTCACCTCAGCTCCCTCCTCCTTTGAGATCTAGAGAGGACCCTGCGGGGGCATCTTTAGCTGCAGCCCTTGGTGCCCCTTTGCCCGAGGCAGACAAATTACAGTATGCAGATCCTTCCAAAACTGTGGCTGACTTCCAGACTGATGACCCTACCATGGTCAGCTGCAGGGATGGGCAGCCCACTGGCACACTGACTATCCCCCTGCATACCAGCTGACATTCAAACCACTGTTTTCCTATGCCTGCTGGTAAGAGAGCAGACTCAGAAACTTTGTTTTCCCTCAATTACCATGTCCCAATTCTAGAGAGTTACTGTGCCAAGTAACCACGGGGACTTTGGGACAAAAAAGATAGCCATCTCTTATTGAAACCATAAGAGGAGCCAGGTACTGCATTGATCACCTTTCACACATTCGGCTTGTTCAACACCTCAGTGAAATGGGCATGATTATAAACCTGTTTTATACATGAGAGTCAGGAAGGTAAAATAGTTTGTCCATCTGTCCAAGCTTCAGGTGGGGACCTGTTAGAGGCCCGTATCATCACACACCATTCCGTACTGCTGTTGCTTGTGGTCTGTGCTCCACCTTCAAAACCCATCTTTAAAGTATTCTAAGACATTGCTCTGTGGAGTCTAGCCCAGGGCATGGATGAGTGGAATACTGGGTATGTGTTCCATGGACCCTCAGATGGGGAGTGACCCAGGCAAGATGCTGCAACCTGTCAGGGGGCCGGAATCAGGTATGGAGAGCACCCTGGTCTGGGGCTGGCACCAGTCTGCCCTGTCTCCCTGTACCAAAGGTCACATCCATGAGATTCCAGACCCTTATGTGCCTCCCTCTTACCTAATGACTCCCCTTTTAGACATGGATTATACTGTAACCTTTGGACTAATCCAACAGCTTCTAAAATTCATGCCTAGCAGTGGCTTTCTTAATGAAATGCATGTGGGGGAATGTTCAGACTTGCAAATGGAAACTCTCCCAGTAAGAGCCCCAGCGCAAAGGAAGACGAGTGGATCGGTCCCATGAAATCCAAGGAGGGGAAACATCAGATGACCGAGGGGAATGTGGGCAGACTTTGTTTTTTTCTTACAACATCCACCTTTAAAAAGCATTTAGGGGGCAATTGACAGAGCAGGGGCTGCTGCACATAGTTTCCAGTCCCTGGCCATTCCACACCCATCCCTAACCCAAGCATTTTATGGCCAGGACTGCAAAGAGCATTAGTTTTAAAAAAGAAATGAAAAAGAAACCAAAACACACATCCTGAAATATCATTCAAAAGCCCAAGAGTGAGTGGACCATGGGGCTGCCACAGCCAACGACCAGCCCTGGCCTGGGGTCCTTCGCAGGCAGAGCCAATTTTGGATCCACAGGTCATGGTCCTGTTGACGCTTCCATGTGAAGAGACCTAGGAGTAACCCTCAAAAAGACTATGGATGTGAGCCCCTGGTGTACAAAGCAAAATGTGTGGAGTACAAACATGCTCATGAAATTCACCTGCCTGCGGCTGTGGTAGGCTTTACACGAGCAGATGCCATTTACTCAACACCAAAGGCCAGGCACTGGCTACATGCTTCTCAGAGACAGCATCACGTGCCATCCTCCCAGCAACCTCATGAGAAAGAAGCTCTTATCACCCCCACTCCACAGAACTGATGCTCAGGGAGGTTAAAGGAAGAGTCAGTGCTTCTAATCTGCACTGCTACCCTGCCATTCTTTAGCAAAAGTGGAACATTTTACTCAAAGCCACCATTGGTCTTGACCTTATGTGTTAATTTTAAGAGCCTAACTTCAGAAATAGTTACTTCTTTCAGGTGTGCCCCACATACATTGTGGATGCGCATTGTTCCTTGAGGCATTATGCCTCAGTGGGGTTAGCAGATGCAGAGTCACCCCAGAAAAGCCCCTGCAGTCCCCTCCTGTCCAGCAGGCTGGAAAACCACCTGAGTCTCCGCACCCTATTGCTTTCCATCCGTCCAGGCTCCTAGCAAACTTTAGGCCCCACCCCAGGTTTTATGATGTCTGCATGCATATGATGGCAAAAAAATATTTTCTACCAAAAGGGGGAAGAACAAAACTTAATAAGCAGATTTCCAGAGTGAGAAGATGTAACCCCTGGCTACAAAACAAAGCATTTCCCTTGGAGCATCTGCAACTCGTGATTCGGCTGAATCCACATGGCTCGTGGTCCTTCCTGTCAGTACTGGAGGTGGCCGAGAGGAGGGAGGAGTGGAGAAAGACTCCAGAGGTTGCTTTCTCAAACCAGGGGCTAGGGTGGAGCACTGCTCTCCAGCCCTGGCAGAGACAGACCGAGGAAAGTGATTCACCCATCTGTCACATGGGAGCTGCCAGTCACCCTGCTCTGTGCCTTGAAGTTGTGCGTGATAAAGATGAGGCACATCCTGGCCATTGCTGGAATCGATGCAACAGTGAAGTCTAAGGGAGTAAAGACTTGGAAAGGCATAGGGAAACTGAGGCCCAGGCTGGGACCAGACTCCTTCAGTGCCATAGCGGTGGCTGCTTGCTAAATAGTCCTTGGGAGGTGCATAGGGAGTGCACCTACGTGATGCTTGGGCATCATACAGGATATTGTCCCCACTGCAAACCGGGTTAGCTGTGCCCTAAATCAGGTGCACAGCTTGCCTATAGGGTCCTTCACATGCTAGCCTGGTTCCAACCACATCTGACTGTTTCTGCCTCCTTCATCATCAGGGGGACAAAGGTGCCATTGGGATGCCTGGACGTGTGGTGAGTTGGCCCATTTGCACCTGCTCAGGTGGCCATTGCTTGCTTCTCCGTGCTGGCCTGTCCTCTAAACCACGGCAATGTGCTGTCTGCCCCAGGTTCAAGGAGAGGGTCAGCTCTTTCCCTTCCCCAGGCCCCAGTATGCTTCAGGGAGGGACAAGGAAGGAGAAGGGAAGTTGTATTCCAGTCCTTCAGACCTCACAGTATGGCTTTACTCTCCAGAGAGCTGCCACAGCAAAGGAAAAACCCAACAAAGTTGCATGAACAAAGTCCTTTGCCAGTTACTTGCTGGGAATGGGAAGAACAAACTGAGCCTCAACATCAGAAGGACTCCCACTCCACCCCGCAAAGCTGGCAGCTCACCCTCAGATTCACAGCTGCTCCTGCAAACCCCTCGGGGGAGCCAGGGTTCCCAGAGGCCTTCTCTGTAGACAGAGACGCACTAAGAGATGGTGAAGACAGGGCTTGGCCCCGGGTGGTGCCTCCAAGTCCTCACAAGGAGGCTGAGAGTTAAAACATTCCCTGTTTCCTACTGGAAAATGAAGATGGAGAAGCGTAGATGAGAATGTTTGATGGAGAGGGTGTTTCCCAGAAATGGGAAGGCCAGCAGCAGCCCTTGAGTGTCTACAAAGGGCTAGAAAGGCAGTAGCCTAAGGCGGTGATGGCCATGCCCCACCCTCACCACTCCCCAGCCTGGGCTGGGACAGGGCCTCAGCCGCTCTCCCCATGTGACTCCTAACTTGCCATCAGCCTCTGCCTCACCTGGCTCCCCAAGACCCCTGACCACCCCCATGTCATTCTCAGCTTTGCCTCAGAATCTCATGGGATTGGCTGTAGGAGTGGGTCACACATCCTTGTGTGAATTTGCATGCCTGGTGTGAGCCTGCCAGTGCTCGGAGGCTGAGAAAAGGCATCCAAATGAAAGCTGACCCTTGCTAGTTCTAACTGCTTGCTGGTGTTGTGCTAAGAGCCTTGTATTAGCTTACTCAGACTTCACAAGAACTGCATGAGGTAAACAACAGTTTCCACCCCTAGTTTTCCGATGAGAAAACTGAGGCTCAGAAGCTAAATGTCCTTCCCAAGCTCACACAGTCAGGAAGTGGCTGAGCAGAAATCTGAACTCAGACAGCCCAACTCCAAACCTGCACTCTTGATCCTGACATTATTACTACTCCCCGCTCACCACCCACCCCTGCTGGCCTTGCAGCTCTGAGGAGGGTCTGATCCTTAGAATGAAGCCCCTGAGGCCTGGGATATTTCAGAGTTCAGGGCAAATTCCATGTCACGGAGCTTTGCTCTCTCCAGGGCCCACCCAAGGCCTGTCTATGGAGGCATGGAGGCTGGGAGCGCTGGGCTGCCCCACGTGAATCTCCCACCACTTCCCAGAGCAGAGCATGGTGGAATTGCTGCCTGGCTCTGTCTCTTTTCTTCCATTCTCTAACTCCAGATCCTGAGTCCACCCAAGCCGTCACAGGCTCTGAACAGAGCGGGGAAACATGATTCAGCCATCCTTTCCCGAGGGCCTGAGCATGTGGACCTGAGCCAGTCACCTGCATTGCCATAGCCCTCTGAGCCCCTGTCTTCCAAATGAAGATGTTAAGACTCACTGCACCTAAGATAGGGTGGAGTTGGGCTTTGTACCCAAGCCAACTGTGGGACCCCAAAGTCCCTGCTCCCAGGGAAGCTTCAGGAGCCTCTCCCGAGTGCAGAGACCAGCCACAGGGAAGGCTGCAAAATGCAAAGTGGCAGCTCTGGGCCTCCCCGCCCTGTCCGTACTGTCCTCCTTCTTGGACCTTGTGGACACCTTCCCCCAGGAAGCGTCCACACTTCTCCCCCATAGCAGTGGAGGAAGAAGGAGGGGAGCTGCAGGAGGTCTCCCCACTTCCTTCTTAGGAAGGAAGCCACTCTGGCTGCTGGTGCTATTTTAAATGTGACAATGGGCCCATTTGTTTGCCCAGTAGGGGTCCTGGCAGGAGCCACCTGATAAGCAGTGAGATGGCCAGTAGGTGTGACATGCCTGGGTCATCCCTGGGGTTTACCAGAGGGGGCCCCACTGGCTTGTCCAGAGCAGGGTGGATTGGGACTGCCCATCTACTGGTCACTGTGGTTGCAAGGGATCCTTGGCCACCTAACCAGCCTCCTCTGCATCACTGACCTGTGCTCCATCCTTCCAGAGGTGTGTGTCCTGCCTTCTGGCCTCCTGTGGTTCTCCACGCCCCCTCCCTCCACCTTGCCCGGCCAGGCCCAAGGACTCCAGGCTTGTCTAGCTTGGCAAAGCTTTGTTCTTGGTGTTCAGCTGGACCTGCAAACCTCCTAGACACCAGCATCACAACACAGTCCTGGGGCAATTCCCCCCCATCCCCACCCCAACCTCAGAGTGTCCTGGCCAGCTGGGGCCATGGCTTGTGGGGAAGACTTCCTGACTTAGGTGGGATCTTGTTATCTTTTCTCTCTCTCTGTCTCTCTCCAATTATCTGGCTTTCTCTCTCTCTCTCTCTCTCTCTGGCTCTGTCTCACTCACACACACACACACACACACACACACACACGTGCCTCAAGAGGGCCTCTCACAGCCCCAGCCTCTGTTCCTCAGTTATCTGGAGCAGCTGCACATTGCAGCCGCTGCCTTCCACATGCCACATGCTGTGCTTGTTGGACGTGGACCTGTCATGTGTCAGCATCTGTGTTTTGCTTTGTTTCTTATTTCACAGTGATTTCTTCTGTTTGGTTGTTGTGCCATGAACATGGATTCTCGTGTGGGTGCCTCTTTCTCATCCCCTCTTTTTTCTCTCCCTCCCTTTCCCTTCTTGCACCCTGTGTTGCATGTGGCTGCCCCAGGGAGTAAAGGGCCAACCAGGAGAGAAGGTGAGTCCACGCTTTCCCCTTCTGCCCTGCACCCAGCCTCCTCCTCCAGGTGGACTCTTGACAGGGAGACTCTTAGCCCTCCTCCCCCGATGAAAGCCTCAGCAGAGGGTGCTGGCTGGGCCTGCTGCCCTCCCAGCCTCTCACGGCCCAGTTTCCTAACAGCTTCCATACCATCGGGCAGCAGTCTTGGGATTCCTGGGCGGCGGTCCCAGCTTTCCCGGCTGAGCAGGTCTCCCCTGCCCTGCCCTGCCCTGACAGCATGAGGCCGCATCACTCTGGCCAACTGCTCTTTTGTGTAGCTGGAACTGCCCAGGGGGACCCCCAAGGTTATGGAATAGACCCTGGGAAGTCAGACCCAGAAGCCATCCTGGAACATCAGCCCTGCGGGGTTCTTGAGAGATTTCTGAGAGCAACACTTCTTTTTTTTTTTTTTTTTTTTTGAGATGGAGTCTCCCTCTGTCACCCAGGCTGGAGTGCAGTGGCGAGATCTTGGCTCACTGCAACCTCTGTCTCCTGGGTTCAAGCAATTCTCCTACCTCAGCCTCCCAAATAGCTGGGATTGCAGGTGCATGCCACTACACCCAGCTAATTTTTGCAGTTTTAGTAGAGACGGAGTTTCACCATGTTGGCCAGGCTGGTCTCGAATTCCTGACCTCAGGCGATCCGCCCACCTTGTCCTCCCAAAGTGCTGGGATTACAGGCGTGAGCCACCATGCCTGGCCAAGCACAACACTTCTAAGGAGCTCACTCTGCAGATGAGGAAACTCATCTGATGCCCAAGGAAGGAGCAGGGCTGGCCCAAGATCGCACAGCAATAGTGATGAGCGGGGGTTCCAAGACAGACCTCCCAGTGCCCAGCTCTGTACTTCCCTGTCTGTAATGCAGTATTTCTGCAATAGTTTTCTGTCTCCAAAATAACAATCTCAACAATTGTAATACAGCTGCCATGTATTAAACACAAACTGTGTCAGGTGCAGTTTTAAATATTTTGTCTGTTTTCCCAACTAGCACCGACATAACCTTTTCAGGGAAGCTTTAATATTCTCATTTACATGAGGCACAGAGAGGCCAAGTCACATGCCCCAGGTCACACAGCTAGAATGTGGCGGAGCTGGAGAGACGCCCCAGTGGTCTGACTCCAAGGCTGGGGCCCTAGCTACCATACTATTCTGTCCCCAAGATGGAACCAGACTGTCAGCTCCACATTGGCATGAGGCTAAACTGCCTAGGAGAAAGACACATGACCCTTTCCATGGACCAGGCATTGTTTTAAGTACTTTACATTAACACGTGACATCTTCTCATCCATCCTATGAGACAGGCGCTATCTGTATCCTTACAGACGAGAAAACAGGCACGGGGACAGTAAGTCGCTTGCCCAAGGTCACACAGCTGGTGGGTAGCAGAGCTGGGCTTCAAACCCAAGCATTCTGGCTCTTAACCGTGACACTACACCTCCTTGTATAAAAATTATTGTATCATTTCCATGACATAAACAGTTACTAATTTGAAATCATCCCTCGCCTACCTGTGAGGTATGACATTTTCCAAAATGCGTTTCCCATAAGGGCAGCAGAGCCGCTCTCAGAATCCCTGTTCACAGAGGAGGTATGTGGGCTTGGAGAGGTTTTGTAACTTTTCCTGGCAGAGTAAGACCTTGAACTTGGGGACACACACACACACACACACACACACAGCGCTTGTCTAACTAGCTTAGCCACCCTTGACAGCACTTCGAGCTCCTCATTCAGCAGCAACTGCCTTCCTCTCAGAGCTGACAATTCTGCTCCAGGCTTCACCCCTCCGTGTTGTTCTGAAACCGGGACTAGGGAATTTGAGGCAGCTCAGCCTTTCAGGGTCAGGGATGCTAAGTTCACACAGCACGCATGTTGCTCGTGTCCCCACCCTCTGTTTGCACAGCCCCGTTCTCGGGCAGGTTCAGCAGTTGCAGGGTGTGCAACCAGATGGGTATTTGCGGAGGGTGCTGGAAAGCACCCTGGGCTGGACGGGGGAGAGACTCGGGCCTGGGCAGGCTTGCTAAGTCTCCCCTCTCTCCCTGTGTCTCCCTGTTTCCTGCCACTCCAATGGATCCGGTTCTTCTTGCTTCCCCGGCCTGGGGTCCCACCACCTTGTCTCCCCGGAACCCTATGTCCTGTGTTCTCGCTGACACCTCTTCTTTCCCTCCTGCTGCTTCCCCCTACTACCTGCCCTTCTCAACCCGTCCCAAATGCTCCCTCCTTGTCCCTGTGCCCTCTCTGTTGCCTCTGCTGATCCCTTCGTGGCCCTCCACGTCCCCGGCCTCCCTCTCCTGTCCCATGGGGCTGGCGTCCTGCTCCCGGCCCCCTGCCAGCTCCTTCCCTTTGGCTCCTCTCTTTCCCGCTCCTCTTCTCCACACCTCCCTGCCCCTCGCTCCCTCTCCCCCTTCGTCTCTCCCCGCAGGGGTCCCCCGGAGATGCTGGGCTGTCCATCATCGGCCCCCGAGGCCCCCCTGTAAGTTGTTTTTGCTGTTCCTCGGGGTGTGGGGGGTATGGGTGAGTTGATGAAAAGGGCTTTCAGGCTGGGGATGAGGGGGCAGCAAGGGCAGCTGTGCCCCTGGGTGGGGAGGCCACTGCATGTGATGTGGTCAGGCCAACCAGGCCTCGGGTGCCGATGTTGATGTTAAGGAAAGTGGCCTGGCTAAATATACCTAAATTACAGCCCCTTGGGAGGGTTCTGAGGGACCTGCCCTCTAGCCACGAAACTACAGCAGCTGCGAGGCGGCCCTGCTGTTTACAGACAGAAGGGAGAAAGAGTTTGCTCTCCTCCGGATGGGGTGATCCGGCTTTCCCGGGAACCAGCCTTTGTTTCTGGAAGCCCATGGAGCAGATACGAGTCCGGGTTCACTGACCCAGGCACGCAGTACTGGTCTTGCCAGAAGCCCAGCCCACACTCACCCTCACAGATGCCTCTGTGTGCAGTGCGGGTTCCTGTGTGTTCACTAGCACCCTCCAACCCGTGGCTGGGAGCTTGAGAAAACCAGCGAGGTTCCCCTCACATGTGCTTCCTTAGGGACCAAAACGGGGGTGCGGGTGATGAAGCCAGCAAGATATCGAGGCTGTGGGAGGAAGGCTTGTTATTTTCCCAGAGCCCTGAACCACGGGGCTTTAATAAAATCACCACATGTCAGGGTGGAAAGGATCCCAGGGATGGTCTCATACAGCCCTCTCAGGAGGGGAAACTGAGGCTCAGAGAGGAGGAGGGGCCTCCCATGTAGAGGCTTGGCAGGATTAGAACCGAGGAGCCCCGGCCTCACCACAGCAGCAGGCTGCCAGCTCCACCTTCTGCACTTTTCCTGACCCGCCATGCTCCGTGAGGGATGGGAGCAGAGGGCTAGCCTCTGGAGGACTGAGACCCACATCGGAGGGAGAGGGGCTGGAGAACAAATGGCTAAGTTACATCCAAGGGAGGGGGCCCGCAGTGAGCTGAACAGCCAAGCGAGGGGTTGTGGTGAGTGTGGGGAGCTGAGAGGTGGAGCCAGTTTGGGAAGGAGAGCAGAGAGCAGGGGCAGGAGAGCCAGGCTGGCAGGCAGGTCAGGGGCCGGTTCGGAGGCAGCACTTGAGCAGCCCTGGACTCAGTAGACATGGCCTTTACAGCAAGGTTTTCTTCTGGGCTCAGACCATATTGACCACGCTTAACACTTCCTCTATGGTGGTCTTATCTTAAGACTTTTACATGTATTCACTCACTTAATCCTCACAAGAACCCCATGATGTGGGGACTGTGATCACCTCCATTTTACAGATGAGGAAACTGAGGCACTGAGAGGCTGAGTGACTTGCCCAAGGCCATAGGGCTGGCATGTGGCCACACTGGTAACAGATCATTCAGCCAGGCCATCTGGCTGCAGTCTGCTTCTGATTCCTGCTGCTGTCATGGACAGGACAGGCCTGATGTCACTGTCACATGTGCTCCTGGGCTTACATGGTGGCTGCCCCGATGGGCTTCCAGCCTCCTGTGTACTGGAGGAAGTGCAGCGCCAATGCCCTGGCCGAATTGGTCCTGATGAAGGTGGTGATGGGAAGGTCATAGAAACAGAAGACAGTCCTCCGGGTTCTAACATCAGGGACCGAGCCTCGTGTGTTAAGAGGACAGGGGAGTAACACAGCATACAGGGCCTACCCTAGGCCGCCATCTCTGTCTGCCTTCTGGTCTGGCTACAGATGTTCTATTGCATGGATCCTGCTGGTCCTCTAACACCCTTTCAGCAAATTATGTCAAGAGGCTACCAAAAAGTTATTGAAAAGCTCCACTGCTGGAGATGTGTTCAGGTCAGTAGAGCCTCTGCCCCTCCTGGCCTCAGCCCAGCACAGATAACCTAATCAGAAACATACCTACTGCACCGGATTTGACTCCAATAGTGAAAAGCACCTTCTGTTCAGGTAACAATGAGAGCTTTTGTCTCCCAGGCACCCGTCACAAAATAGGTCTCCTTCACAGCTGTGAGGCAGGCTCCACCAGCCCATTTTACAGAGGAGAAAACAGTTTCCTAACTCGCCTGTGGTTGCCCAGCTAGTAAGTTCTAGAGCTTGGGTTTCGCCAGGTCAGCCTCATCCCAAAGCCTGCATTCTTGCCTCAACACCCTGCTCCATGTTTGAAATGCTACTGTTTAAAATGGTATTTATTTCAGGAGAAAAAAAATCCTCCAGGTGGGTGCCTACATTGGCACCAGGAAAGGTTTTATCGTACCAGGAGTCTTAACCAACCCCAGCATCCTCTAACTTTGGCCCCAATCACCCAGTGGCTCAAGCCATCCCTGCTGAGTCCCCACTGGACAGCAGGGGCAGCCCACTCGGCTCCTCCCAGGAAGCTGCTCTGAGCTAATGGGAGCAGGGGTGGGGGAAGACAAAGGGTCCATTTGTCATTAAGTGGTAGAGGTCAAGTGCACACCCTTGGTGGCAGCCAGGGATGATGGAGAACATGTGACTTTCCACTCAGCCAGGAGGGGTCCAGCAGAGATGCTGCTAATAAGAACCAGCCTTGCCACTCTCAGGGGCCACCTGCCTCCCCTCTTGGAGCTTGATAAATGGTCCAAGCAAAGAGGGACCGGACCCCCTCCAAACACTTTGGAGGAGGGTTCACTTTCTAATGAAGCATGCTGGAATACAGTGTTGGGGCACTTTGACTTTAAGGGAGCCTCATTAAATCCAGGGGGAGGCTGGATCCCCAAGATGCTGGCTGGCCCAGCAGGCCCTGGGCAGCGGATCTGCCAGTCCTAGGAAATGCCCCATCTCAAAGTGTGCCCATTCCCTCTCTGAGCTCCCCAGCTTCTCTTCTGGGGCCAGGAGATATCTGAATTTCCAGTCCTCAGCCACTAGGAGCCACCCCACACCAGGTAGACACACCTACTAAGTGTGTCTCAATTCACTCCGTTCATATTTGTTAAGAGCCCAGTGCCTGCTAGGTGCTGCGTAGAAACCCGACCTCTGTCAGCTTGCCCTCTGGGCACATGATCTAGTGGGAGAGACCAGTGATCACATAATCCATGACAATGCAGACAGCAAGTGCTAAACCAGGGGATGGTTAGAGAGCTGTGGGACAAGGAGGAGGCACCAGCCTTGGGGAAGGAGGGCAGGTAGGGAAGGTTTCCTGGAGAAGGGGATAATACCTGCAATCAAGGACCCGTGAGAAGCCCTTACATTATGGTCAGGGGTTGGGCTTTGTCCTGAGGGTGTGAAGAGCTTGTAGGCTGTGTTAGGCTGATGTGGGACATGACCAGATTTGCAGTTTGAAAGGTTTTAGAAGGTCCGGCATGCAGCATGTTTAGAAGAGGCTGCAGTGGGAGGCTGGCTAGAAGGCACTTGCAACAACCAAGGCCTGGACTGAAGCAGAATCGGTAGGGCTGGCCAGGAGGGCTGGACTTGCAAGCTATTTTACAGGTGGAATTGAAGGATTTAGTGATGATAAAAAATGAGGATTGAGGGAGAAGCAGGAGCTCAAGATGACACCACATTTCTGACTTGAGTAACACAGTACCCTTTCCCAGAAGGAAGAACAGATTTTGCCAGGGGAGATGAGTTGAATTTGAGCGTGATGCATTAGAGATGCCGTAATGTCCAACGGGAACTGTGATTCGCTGCTGGAGGTCAGAGCAAGTGGTCAGCTGGAGCCAGCTTGGACGGCTGGCAAGAGTGGACCATGCACACCTCGCCTCCTCCCAGCTGCGTTCAGTGACCTCATGTTGGTAGCTTGAAATCAGCTATGGTGGGTGTATTTATACCACAGATATTGGCAGATGCTGTACGAGGCAGGGTTCTCTTCTCCACCCTCTCCCACTCAGCTAATGGTTAAACATTTGCCAGCATGGAGTCTTGTTGGTGAGGGAGGCAGAATGAGGTGGCCCCTGGGCAGAGACACAACTGACCATCTCTTGACGGTCAAATAAGAGAAGGGAGACTTCCTGGTAGGCTTTTTCCAGCAAGAACCTTCTGTCTGTGTATTTGCAAGTAGGAGAAAGACAGGGAGGAGTAGACACAGGGGTCTGCTTTCAGAAGTGGGGACCTCCTTCGGCTCCCTTTTCACTCTGACCTTGAACTAAGGGAGAAGGTTTCAGAGATCAATGTAAAGATTATTTCCTTGGTTCTGGTTCAGAAGGATGTAATATTAATCCATGAATTAATGTACAAATACATCTATTTTTTATACATTTAATGTGGTCCTAATCCCTGTGCGTTTTTTATGAGGTTGGGAATCCAACAAAATTCTACTAGATACAAAAATGTATTATAAAAACAGGACAATCTAAGAAACATATGAACAGAACAGAATGGGGAGGCCAGGAATAAAGCCAAATGCATGTGTCACTTTGGTACATGATCAAGGCTTCATTTCACAATAGCAAGAGAAAGATCAATTGTTCAAGAAATGATGCTGGGGCAACCGATAAGCCACTTAGTAAAAGGTAAAATGAAAGATGGTTGTTTGGTTTTTTATTATTAAAACCAATTTATTCATTATATCAGAATAAATTCCAAATGAACAAAATACTTAGATATAAAACCTGAAACCATAAAATACAAGGACAAAGCATGAGTGAACATTTTATAATTCTGAAACAGGTAGGCCCTTTTAAACATCACACAAAATCCAACAGCCGTAGGAGAAGATTAACTTTGTCTATATAAATATAAAACATACCAGAAACAAAATAAAAGACAAATGCCAAAGTAGAAAGAATAGTCATCACTATTCATGACTATTGAATATTCGGATATCTCCTGGCCCCAGAAGAGAAGCTGGGCAGCTCAGAGAGGGAATGGGCACACTTTGAGATGGGGCATTTCCTAGGACTGGCAGATCCGCTGCCCAGGGCCTGCTGGGCCAGCCAGCATCTTGGGGATCCAGCCTCCCCCTGGATTTAATGAGGCTCCCTTAAAGTCAAAGTGCCCCAACTCTTTGATGCATGACTATCAAAGAGTTATTTTTCTTGACAAAGTGCTTCATTCAAATCAGCAGGGAAAAAACAAACAACCTACTAGAAAACATTGGTAAAGAGAAACGGGCAGAGAAATATTGGAAGAGATGTCTAACCTCAGGATATAATTGAAGAGATATAAATTAAAGTCCAGTTCCAAGTCTCCCCACATGCCTTCCCCAGGCCCAGCCTCTCCACAAAGTGGCGTCCCAGTTTCCACTTGGTCCATGACAACATTCTTCCCCAGATCTCTGAAAAAGCCTTGGTTAGCCCCGGATTTGGTCCTGGTTGGAGAGATGCATCTTCCTACCAGGGCAGGCTCTGTAATTAACAAACTGTGTGATTATCCCTACCACGTAAACATTGTCTCTAGCAGGATTGAAGATGTTTCTTGGAATCCTCTCCTCCTGACCTTTGCTTCAGTCCTCTTGGTGTGCAGAGTAGTTTACAGAAAGTTTACACTGGGAGGTTTCAGAGATGACATTGGATGGTTTCCGGGTTTTCTCCTTGGTTTATTCTTAGCATCGCTTATCCTTGAGAGGAAAAAAGCTAGGGGCCCTTCCGATAGATGAGTGGAATCTCCTCCCTCATGCCCTTTTGGATGGCTGCCACAAGCCCATCCTAAGCCTGCGGCAGACTTCAACTCGCTCGCTGTTGAACCAGCGCACCCACCCTGATGGCAGGGTGCCCATCCTACCCAGCTGACGTGTTCCCTGAGCACAGGCCACTGGGCACTTATGTTCGCGGCTTCAAGGAGGACTCTGGCAGCCTGGAGATGCTTTAGGGTCATAGCATATGAATCCTCACACCAGCGCTTGGAGCAAGGCATGAGCCAGACGCCCGCTGAACAGGGACAGGGGGAGCCTGCTGCGTTGTATAACAAAGAGAAATCTTCTGGAGAGGTCTGATTCTAAAACTGCTGCTTGACAAGGACAAACTTTCATTGATCACAAGACATATTGGGCTCAAAAGTAACCTTGCTCTATTCTGGAGCTTCCCTGTTCAGTTCAATTCAACAAGTGTCTGATGATGGCAGCTACCATTTCAATAGGCTTTACAAACATAATTAAATGTAATTTGATGATCCTATGAGGTTATACTGTCATCTCGATTCTATAGATGAGGAAACTGAGGCTCTGGGAGGTTAGACAACTTGCTCAGGGTCACACAGCCATAGTTGGAGGCAGGATTTGAATTTAGTTTGCCAGTCTAGAAAGCCCATGCTTGGGAAGAGATTCTGGCTGCGTCAGCCAAAGGAGACCCCAAGCTAAGAACTGGGCATATTTGTTTGGTGAACGGCGGGTAAGCCAGTGTGTCTCAGCATAGAATAGATGGAAAGATGTGGCGGGAAAGGAAACTAACGTGGTTGATGGGGATAGGATGGAGGGCTGGCCTTGAACATGGTAGAAAGGAGCCCTTGCTGGTTCTCGAGAAGGAGAGTGACAAGACTCACATTTCTTAGCTCTCCATCACCCTTGACTACCTGGCCATCCCTCCTCAGCCCTGCATCATCACAGCCTTGTGCTTCTTCTAATCTCATCACATCCCCTTTGTCCTGAATCTTGATCATAAACCACTGGATCATAAATCACTGTGACCAGTGAACCTGCTTCTAGTCTCCACCCTAAGTATTTATTTGTGTTGCACTCTGCACTTCCAGGAAAATAGGCATAGATTGCTCTGCATCCCACAAAGATTAAGGAATGCTCAGAGATTGCCCAACTGCTAGGAGAAGCCTGCTGGCCAGGGTGAGAGGAACAGGAGCAACCTGACCTAGTCTAGCCTGAAAATACACATTTTGAAGGTCAGATTCTGATATCCAAGCCATCCTTAGATAAGTGACCATGAGCAATGACTGTGTAAATAAAAAAGGGCTTACAGGATCACAGTCCAGGAGTTCCGCGTGCTCCGCTGGCCCCACTGTCCCATGTGTCTGTTTACAAGCCACGCATACACAGTGGTGAGGAGCTCTCCAGGGGCCGCTTCCCAGAAGTAGACCCAAAGGACGCTGGCCCCTTCCTGTTCCATTCCCATCCCCAGCACCTGCAGGAGATTTCCTATGATGTTCCATTTCATCTTTCTCCATCCTCCCTCCCAGCCCACTAACCACAGTGAGTGTCCCCCAAAGACGATCACACAGAGTGAGAGTCATGGAAGCAAAAACGAACCAGAGGGCTAGGGATTGGCTGCATCTCCTCCTTGCTCAATCTCACTTGTCTCTTGTTTGGTTTTTTTTTTTTTTCCAGGGTCAACCAGGCACTCGAGGTTTTCCTGGATTTCCGGTAAGTGGAGAAGGCTGAAGTTAGCTATGTCCCAGGTGGTCTGTAGGCCTGATTGGGTTAAACTTCATCTGAGGTCAGCCCTGGTTCCACTCTTTCTCTCCCAAACTCTGGTCATTAAGGACTTGCTTCTACAGCCATTCATGGACCCAACTCAGGACAGTAGCTTGGCAGTCAGGTCACAGTGCAAGGAATAAATACAGGGAAGCAAATCCACAAATTAAGGGGCAGCAGGACAGGCCCCAGGTGAGTGAAGTCACAGGCTGATAAACCCCAGCATGACCTGGGAACACGGAATGGACGATGCCCTGTGGGAGAACACCTGCAGCTCAGCCTGTGCCCGGGCTTTGAGAGGAGATCCAGCGTGGGGAAGGCAGAGGGATGACCACCTGGGTGTCCTTGACCTCTGCCTATGGGGCCTAAGACAGGTTCTGACAGGCAGAGCAGAGGGAGAAGTTCCCTTTTCTCCCAGCCTCAATGCAGGCCAGCCCCTGATTTCCAGGAACACACCACCCACTCTGCACTCAGGGCAAGGGTGAAGTCTTTGACATTAATGGGGAGGCCACCCATAGGGTTTTCTCTTGTGCTGTGTACCTGGCATCCAACATTCTATTATGCTCAACCCCATTTCAAGATGGGAAATTGAGGCCTAGGCTTACCCATGGTCACATTAACAAGTATGTGGTCAAGCAGGGCCTTGAGCTCCAACTTATCAGAATCCAGAATCTATGCTTTTCCCCACTGCCCAGGCAGCCTCTTTGGCAGGAGGCTTGTGATGCTCGGTCTTTACATCTGGCCTTTCTGGTTTCAGGGTCCCATTGGGCTGGATGGCAAACCGGTAAGTGGACCCGCTCTCAGGGGAGGGCTCCTCCCCCTCACTGCAGGTCAGTGATCCTGGATCTCTTGGTCCTTCTGAGAGACCCTGACTCCGTGGAAAATGCTTTACTTAGAAGGAAAAGTCCTAGGGCTGAAGGTTGTCACTACTGGGAAGTGGAGGGGGCCATTTGAGTCACCCCTGACCCCAGTGGCCTTCCCCAGGGCACAGGTCCCCAGCTGCCCAGCCTGGCTTTCAGAATCCAAGCAAGATGCATCCCTGGGTGATTCTGGGTGGGGTGGGGGTGAGGTCAGTAGGCAGCGTGGAGAGTGGAGGGTATGGAGGTCAAATAGCTGGTCTGAAGAGCCTGGCCACTTGTGCACACGATTGCCCCTGCTCCTCAGCACCTGTGTCTCCCATGGCCCTGTCCTCGAGGTCAGGGTCTTCCTCCCCGATTGAGACCTGACACGTGTGCCCAAGTCCTCGTGGAGACTGCTTCCTACCATAGCGCCTCTCTTCATTCATTTCAATCCTTTGGACTTGGTTCCCTGACACAAATGTTCTTGGGGGAAAAAAGTACCCTCCCCAGTCCTAGGAACAAGTCAACTGGAAGGGAGCATGCCCCACCCAAAGCCCTCAGGGTGGATGGAATGCAGCCCCACTCACAGCCACGCCCGGTCCCACCACTCGCCTCTCTCAGTTGAGGGACCCTAGCACCACCCAGTCACTCCCCAGCTGCAGGCCAGCGAGCTAAGTGCAGCTCAGGGGCGCCAGCAATCATTTCCACTCCTGTCATGGGACCAATCCCCCGAAGCTACCCTGGACATGTGGATGAGGTGAGAGTCGGGGTCTAGGGAGGCTACTCCCACCCCTGCTCTCTGAAGGGCAGGCAGCTGCTAGTGAGGCCCAGCGAGGGGCAGTGAGCAAATGACCTTGCCTTAGGGACAGGGTGAAGGAGTGCACAAGCCAGAAGGTGCAGATGGAGCACAGGGGACAGCAAGGAGCATGGGGAGGCAGGGAGGAGCACGGGGGGCAGGGAGGAGCACGAGGCAGGGGGTGGAACTTCTGGGCTGCAAACAGTGCACCTGGTATTCACCCTCTTCTCCTTCCAGGGCCACCCAGGACCAAAGGGCGACATGGTAAGAGCCCAGCTTTCCTGCCTTCCCAAGATGGGTAGGGGTTGGCCTAGCCTCACAGGCACAGCCAAGCACTGCAAAGTGGGCCCCGCAGGGACAACAGGAGTGGCTGCCCGTGCTGGTCACTCCCCAGCTGTGTAAACCAAATGCCCTGGATCCTCACATCAATATGCAGGGAGGCGAAATGGGCAGGGACCTCTCCATCTGAAGCATGAGGCTGGGAGATCCAGAGAGAGCGCATAGCTGGTCGGTAGCACACAGAAGTCGGTGTCCAGCTTAGTGCTCTCAAACCACACTCGCGTGGGCCTTGGGAGACAAGGTTTCATCCGCACTCACAGGGGACACTTTCTGTAGGAGACACCATTTCTACTGAGCCTGAGGTCCCTCAAGGCCTCATAACCCCTTCCCAGTGCTGGCTGTGCCCTGAGCCACCCCAGGACTCCAGGGGTTCCTGCCCCACTGGGGCTGGTGGTGCCCAGTGGATCATCTCAGCTGGGGGTGCCACATGCACCATCCCAAAGACCCCTTCTCCTCTCCCCACACCTTCCTGGGAGTTTCTGTTTGGATGTTGGGCCACTTGGCAAGTCGAGAGCAGGAGCGAGGTCTTCTCTTCCGTGTCACAGCATCCCGTGGCCGCCCCCCAGATGCATCTGCCCAGGGGAATTGGAGTGCCTCAGGCCCCGAAAAGGTGGAGAGACAAGCTTTGCCCCACCTTTCTCCTGGCCCCTACCTTCTGCAGAGCTTTGGAAATAAATTTGCTGTCTCCACAGACCATCCCTTCCAGAAGGCAATGAAGGGCTGCCCACTCTCACAGTGGGCCAGGTCTCAGCAGGAACTGATGGGCCATTAAGAGCAAATGGGCCCCTGCTCCCACACTGTAGAGTGTACTTTGGTTTTCAATAAAGCCCTGCTTAAAAAAAAAAAAAAAAAACAGCCCTGGGCTGGGATGCAATTTCTGCCTCCTAAGTCCCAGGTCACACCTACACTGCGAGGGACCACCTCCTGCTCCACAGGTCAGTGGGCCAGGCAGGGGTCTGGCTCATGCCTTGCTCCAAGCGCTGGTATGAAGACAACCCTTGACCCATGACTGGGGCACTGCCAGGGCACCGAGGGAGGCAGGCAGTCTCGTGGATGGAAAGGGGGATGGCGGAGTGTTGGCTGCAAGGCCTGGGCTCCAGCCTAGCTCTTCCTAACTTGCCAGCTCCCTCTGGGCCCCAACCTGTCCTCTTGACTCAGATCCAACTAACATTTATTGAGGGTTTGCCGTGTGGTCGGCACTGGGCTAAGCACTTTGCATGACTGTCTCAATCCTCAGCGTAACTGTGCTCCAGGTCTTACTAGAATCCCTTTTGGCAGGTGTGGAAGCCAAGTCTCAGAGAGTCTAGGTAACTTGCCTGAAGTCACACAGCTGAGTGTCCAAAACAAGATCAAAACACAGTTCTCAAATTCCTTCCCTCCACGTTTTATTACCTTCCTCCCTTTCTGTTTCCCTCACTCTTTGTCAGCCTTCCTGCCACCTTCCTTCTTTTAATGCATTTTTTATGGAGTATCTAAAATGTGCTGCGCACTACTTCAGGTGCTAGGGATACAGACGGGAGCAAGAGAGACTGTCTTTGCCATCTGTAGCTCACAGTCTACCAGGGAGACATCCTTTTAAATAATCACTCACGTAACTAACAAGTTGCTTTGCAATGAGTGCTATAAAAAGATAATCCTTAGTGCCCTGGAAACCTTGGTATAACAAAAACCTCACCCAGGCCAAGGGTCGGAGATGGCTTTTCTGAGAAAGAGACTTTTGAACTAATGCCTGAAGAACGAGGATTCAACCGAGAGAAAATAGAAAGAGGGATGAGAATGTGCTTTCTGGACATGGGAGAACAGCATGTGCAAAGGTCCTGAGGTAGGAAAATCCTTGACATGTCTGCAGAACTGGAGGAAGGGCACTGGCGGCAGAAGGCCCCTGAGGCAGTGGCAGAAGAGCTGGTGCTGGAATCCAGGTCCCCCAGCAAGGTTTCCTCTCCATCACAGCTGCCTCCGCTGCAAATGCATTTCCTCCCGCCCCTACCCCGTTCCTAGGCGTGCGGTGCACATGTATGGAATAGTGGAAACCGAGACAGGAATAAACTGCCATGCTGCATTGTTAGAGAGGCATAAAGGGTTTGGGGTGCTCATCCCTTCAGTCCCAGCTTCTTTTCCTCTCTGGCAGCCTTATGCTACCATAAGGTAGCCCATGGCCCCCCAGAAGTAATAATAATGGTCATCTTCTAGGCAGCACTCTGGCATCCTCATAACAGCTTATCATCCCCACTTCATGAGAGGGGAAATTGAGGCACAGAGTGGCTAAGTACATTGCCTGAGGCCACAGAGCTCCTAAATACCAGAGCTGAGATTCAGATCCATACTATGGGGTCTTACCCCTGGATCACACCTCCTCTCAGCTGCCAGCACTTTGTCCTGGAGGAAAGGGACCCTTCCATGGGGCCCCTCTTCCTGCCCTCACTCTGCCCACACCATCCCTCTGTCCCACACACTTGACCGCCTGTCTGTTCAGGGATGAGAGCTAATTCAACAGAAAAGGCAGGCCCACCCCCTCTCTCGTGAGCCCACATCAGTAGAATAGATCACCTATCTGCCTCATCAAATCCGGCAGGCCACAGAGTCATCCGATTCCTGTTTGCCTTGGCATGGGTACCCAAGCTGTTAGTTGCCAACCGCTGTCCAGCATCATTACCTTGGCCCGCTCTTCATCTGTCTGTCTCCCGCCCCAGATGCTGTCCCCTCTGCTGGCGTCCTACTGGGGCACTGGCACTCACCCTCATTGTTTAACCTGCATCCTTACCTTCAAAAGGGGGTCACCTCTGCCCCACCCACTTCACATTATTCCCAATAACCTGAAATAAGGTGTTGAAGTGTTGGGAGGACACAGTTGTACAATAGTGCAGTTGGGGGGTGGACAAGATTGGGGGTTCTGAGACTCAGGAATGACATAAGGGCTGTAAAGCAAGACCTGGACTGAGTCCAAATCTCACCCACCACCCACAGGGCTGTCGGAAGAGTGAGGAGTGCCAGACACTCACAACTCGCCTAGCACACAAGAAGCGGACAGGCACCTTAGCTATGCTTCAGTAGCAGTTAGCAGAGGGCTGGTGGCAAGTGCTGAGCACGTCACCCGGGGCCATGGCCCTTAAAGGGGCAGGCGCTGCCCGGCTGGAGAGAACTGGTACCATGTGTTGTTGGGCCTCGACATAATTAAGAGAAACTTGAAATCCAGATTTTTATTTGCACTCTGCTTGCTCTTAAGTGTTGGTAACTAGTTGAAATAAAACCATGTGGGATACACGAAATCCCTATGAAGACCACGACTGTCCCCTGGGCCACCATTTGGGATGTCTGGTCTCAATTGTCCAAGTCGCTGCAGTCCTGAAACTCCGCCTGCCCCTCCCCCATCACACTTATATCCCTGTCCTGACAGAGGGTGACCTGGTCACCTGTGGGCTGGGCCCGGGTTCCCTGCTGGGTGAATCATGTGCTGCTGAACTTCATTCTAAACACTCTGCCAGGCCAAGCGTGGTGGCTCACACCTGTAATCCCAGCACTTTGGGAGGCCAACGTGGGCAGGTTGCTTGAGTCTGGGAGTTTGAGAGCAGCCTGGGCAACATAACAAAACCCTGTCTCTACAGAAAAAAAAATAGAAGAATTAGCCAAGCATGGTAGTGTGTGCCTGTAGACCCAGCTAATTGTGAGGCAGAGGTGGGAGGATCACCTGAACCCAGGAGGCTGAGGCTGCAGTGAGCTGAGATCACACCATTGCAGTCTAGCCTGGGCAACAGAGCGAGATCCTGTCTCAATAAAACAATAAAAGATAAATAAACACTTGGCCAGCCACATGGGCTGGGAGGGCCACATGGATGGTCCCAAAGGCCACTTCTCCCTTCCAGTGATGCTCTTGGGAGTTTCCCAGTTTGGAGGTGGCCCTGTTGGCAAGTCGGGAGCAGGACCAAGGCTCTTGCACATCACGGCATGCTGCCGCCACCTCCCGGAGGGACCCACCCATGGGGATCCACGATGCTTCAGGCCCCAAAGAGAATGGCTCTAGCCAAGTCTAGAAGCCCTGACTCCCAAGGTCTGGCCCAGTTCTCAGCATTCGGCAGAGTGGAAACAGCTGGACCTTGGCCATCAGACAAACCTGGGCTCCTGTCCCAGTGCCACCATTCACTGAGCCACGAGGCCTTGTCTCTGTCACCTCGCTCAGGAGCTGGAGTGGATACGAGCATGTCCCTCACAGGCACACACCTGAAGAGCCTCAGCTCATAAGGCATTTGTTTTTTCCTCTTCCCTGCACCAGCCTTGGTGCAGCCTCCTAAGAGAGCCAGAGCATGCTGGGCCCTCCTCAGACAGCAAGGGTCCCTCCTGACCCCAGCTCCTTTCCTACCCCTGCATGGACAAGACAACCTTGAAGGAAACCTCAAGATCCCTCATATTTCTTAGAGAACTCCGGAACATGGCTTCAGTTGCCAACTTCTTGCTCGCTCTCTTTTGCCGAAGGTTTCTCCAAGGCCCCCATTGTCTAAGGCACCGGCCCAGCCCCCCAGGCCAGAAGCTCTTCCGGTTCAGTGGGCTTCACTGCAGCCTGGGAGGCAGGAGGTGGAATGTGCTAGTGTCTCCCAGAGGCTTGGTGCATGTGAGGCAGGGGGTCCCATGGAGCAGAAAACTCCCTGACCTCTAGGTGCAGCCCCTCCATAGCTGGCCCATGACATGCTGGTGGTTGGAGGAATGGATGAAAGATGCCATCTGTTCTTCATCACAACCCTCGTCCGGCCCACTGCGGGGTGAAGAAGCTGAGACTCTGTGGATGAGACCACACCACCTTGAATGTGGTGGGCATGGGAAGACCTGGACATGGCTGGCCCAGCCTTCGGGATTCAGCCCCAATCCCCATCCAGGCAGGTGTCCCTGATTGCCCGTCTTCTGTCTGCCCACTGATCTGTGTATGTTTGCTTCCCACAGGGTCTGACGGGTCCCCCAGGACAGCCGGTTGGTACCTCATCCTTCTATTTCCCAGCAGAGAAGCTTCAGGTGGTTGTGACCTCAGCTTCGGTTTCTAACTCTCTCATCTCCGTCTCTTTGTAGGGACCTCAGGGACAAAAAGGAGAAAAGGTAAGAGCAGTGGAGGTTTCCTAGAGTCTCCATCTCAGGAAACGGTCACCCAGTCGGTAGAAAGGGGTCAATAGTGGTTATTTTCAAACTTTAGTTTTAATTGACAGAACCAGGAAAGCCCCCGAGGTGCCGCATAATAGATTCAGTTGACGCCGCTACAGGTGACATCCTTTTCTTGGAGTGAAGGGTCCTCCTGGAGCCTGGCCTGGGTGACATCCTTTTCCAGGGGTCCTCCTGGAGCCTGGCCCTCTTCAGCCTGTTTCTGGGCCCCTCCCAGCTGTCACCCCATGGTGTTCCCTGACGCCTCTGTGAGCCTCTGGGATTCTGAGGCATCAATCTGTCAACCCCTGGCCTGGCCTCCTGCCCTCTCTGTCTTGTTGAATTTCTGATAGAGACTCTGCTGTGCTTGCTTTTGGGCCACTGGTACAGGGGCCTGGTGCTCCCAGCTCAGAGAAGGTGGCTTGGGGGCCCCCATGGTGCCAGCTGCTCCCATCCAGTGGCTTCTGTTCAGGGCTGTCTGGTGGGCCTGTCTAGAGGGTCAACCTTTAGCCAGGCATGGGGCATAACTCCCGACTCCGCCATTATGGCAAGTGGTGTAAGGCGAAGCTCCGCCCCTAGGCTCCATGGGGCAACTTCCAGACAGGCCCTGGAAGTTTCTTCCCTGCTGCTAGCCAGGGGCAAGGGAGGGACTTAGTTCTCCTGCCTCAGAGGGCTCAAACGAAAGCTAGAGCAGGAGGGCTGGTGAGTGGTGAGATGTGTGACATGTCCTGAAGTTCTGGGGGTGCCCTGAGAGACAGGTACCCCCAACAAGTGCCTAACACCCCCTTTCCCTTCTCTCTCCTTCCCAGGGTCAGTGTGGAGAGTACCCACACCGGGTAAGTGAACCCCTAAAATTGAGCAAGGCCCTTTGATCCATCCCTGGGGCACAGCCCCCAGCTCAGCCTCATCTCCCTGGGGTCTCCAGTTCCTAACGGATCGTGGGGGAACAGGAGCCCCCAGTGCCCTCTGCACTCAGCAGTCAGAAAGAGGGGTTTGGGGTGGCAGTGCGTCTGGTGGGAGCAGCTGATGTGTCTCTCTGGCCATGGGCTGTATGGAGCTGTTCATCATCCGTGCGTGTCTGTACATCTGCCCCTTTGTACGTACGGCCGACTCAGTATGTTGGAGTCTCTTGCTTGGTGTGGAGCTCCGTGGCTCCTCTGCACATGGCCCTCTATGGCAGCGTGGCTTGTGTGAGTCCGACTCCCCACCCATCCAGCATGTGTGTGCAAGTGGGGGTGTGTGTGTGTGTGTGTGTGTGGCGGTGGGGGTGATGTCCGGCAGCCTAGCCATGGCCAAAAAAGTGGGACTTTTCGATTAGTCATTGTATCAGATGATGGTGTTTCACATCCAAACCTCGATGATGGGAGATAATCAGGGACTGACTGTAGCAATTGAAGGATAAAGTCTCTCCTTGGCCTGTTTGAGAACAGAGGAAGCCCTTCTCCAAGCAGGCTGGGGATTTCAGGCTGAGATGCTTCCTCTGCCCACCTCTGCCTCCTCCTTCCTTTTCCTTGCTCCACCCCAAGAAACAGAACCCAAAAGACTGCTGTTGTCCTGTTAGGAATCTTCAAACTTGTGTTCCAGCAGCAGGGTCGATCTTGGGACAGGGGAGAGCAAGATACGCACAGCTTCCTCCAGCAGGAGCCCCAGTGAGCTAGGCCCAGAAAAAAAAAAAGCCGCTCATTTTGTGGATTGGCCTCGTTGCTCCCAGACCTGGACAGCAGGGATGGAGGATGAGCATCTTTAGGCCTCTCTCCCCTCTGTCATGTGCCCCATGGTGCTCAGCTTCCCTGGCTGCCCACCCCTGCCATGCAGGTCCGGCTGGTGGGATTTGGGGAGTGGAGACAGACATAAGCCGGAGCTCAGCGTCAGCTTGACTCTAGAAGGCCGTCAGGAGGGCCATGCTAGCAGGGCCCAGCCTCTGCCCAGACCCTCAGGAGGCTGGAAGGCAGACCTGAGGTCTGGGTTCCTGGGCCAGGGAACCACTGTGAGTCTGGTACGTGAGAGGCTGGGATGGGTTTAAGGCTGCGGCGGTGCTAGGCCCGGGCTGAGGAAGGCAGCCCGTCAGCGGCATGTGCTCCAGGGATGCAGGGGCCCTTGTGTTCCGGCCAGCTTGATCCTGATACAATAATAGAAGGTCAGCTGTGTTTATTTGAAACGATAGGCTCACAGGATTGTTATGTTACCCGAAAGAAAGACAACATCCCCCAGCACAAAAGACAACACAACTGCAGACGCTTTGGTAGTGTCTCACCCGTCCTCAGTGAGCGCTTGGGGTGGGGTGGGAGCAGGGGTCTCTGCTTCTCAGCCCAACACAAGGAAAGGGAAGGGCACAGTGACAGAAGGCTGCAGAAGACCCCTGGCCACAGGGTGCAGTGAAGCCTGGCCTCATGACAGTGGCATTCTGGGGAACATGTCAGGCATGGGGTGGGGGAGTAGATTTGGGGTCCCAGCTGAGGGGGAGAGCAAGTTTATTTAGAAGAGGGTAGAAAATCAGGGGGCTTCTAGAGATCTGTTGGCTTTCCAAGGGGTCTGCAGGCAGGGTTGGGGTGGCAGGTCTTGAGGCCTGGAAGACACCAAGAGATCCAGGTGGCCCCTCCTCCACTCCAGCCTGTGGCTTCCCCACGGAGGGAGAGGAGAGGGGTGGGGAGGAGGGGAGCTGGTGTCTGTGGGCTCTCCCATCACGGTCCCTGTCGCCCTGTCTCTGCCACCTCCATCCCCTCCCAAACTAGGAGTGCCTAAGCAGCATGCCAGCAGCTCTGCGCTCCAGTCAGATAATTGCCCTGAAGGTTTGTAGGTTCTGGAAGGTCTCCGGGCCCCTCTCCACTGAGAGGCTTCCTGAACATACAGCCCAACATTGCACATCCCCAGGCCCCGGCAGCGGGAGCGGGTGGAGGTCTGTGTGCAACTAGTGTCCAAGAAGGCAGCAGCTGTGACCTGGAAAGGCCACACTTGGGCTCCCAATCCCCAGCTGGGCACATTCGCAGCCCAAACAGCTCCTGGTTCTTAACACTCACCCCAGGAGTCTTGTGTGATTTAAGTACTTTCAAAAACAAGCGGCTGATGACAGTATATGCCATCTTTGTTTTCACATGGGCTCTAAGGGCCTCCTAAAACCATGGGTTGCTCAGCTTCAATGGGTAGAGGGACTAGAAGCTGCAAGAATTTCCAGAAATGAAAATCACATTAGATAATATAACTGCAATTTGCCTCCCGCAAAAACATGGTTGAGCGTTCTGGAGATATCTTTGCCCAGCCTCTATTTTCCAGGCCCTGCAGCCCCAGGGTGAGCCCTCAGCAGCACTTAGCATGTGCCCATACTGGCCGCACCCTCAGCCAGCTCAACTCCCGGGGAGCTGGGCTTGGCACTGTCCTTGACCACCCTCCCCAGATGCGCTGACACCAGCCTTTCTTGCTCAACCAAAAAAAGAACCCACCAGCCGCACACCAGCCCAACTTCAAGTACCAATTTCACGGGCCCAGTGGTTCCCTGGCCAGACCCTCTGAGTTGGCTCTCTTCTGTCCACCAAGCAGGGATGGGTGGGGCTGGCAGTGCAATTTTGGGCTGCATGTCCAGCAGCCTCTGCAGCCCAGCATGGCCACGGAGGGCAAGCCTGGCCATGGGGGGCCATTGTCCCATTCCGAGGGCTGCTGGTCAACACCCCAAACTCTGACCTGGAGGCCGAGGCCGGGTGTGGACTGAGGGCCACAACTCCTCCCAAGGGACGGCTGTGCCATCCAAGGGCAAGCTCCACTCTGCACCCTCAAGCCATGAGAGTGCCCTGTCCACTCCTTCCCTCCCACTCCTCATGTGCACGCTAATCTCTCTTCTCTCTTCCTCTGCTCCGGTCCCTCTTGGCCGCCCTGCCCTCCTGGCGACTTTTGGCATCGATCTGAATACCTGTGATCTTTGGCCTTTGCCCTCTGGCCCTCCAACTCATCTTTCTCCTCAGCTGCTGCCTCTCCTCAATTCAGTGCGACTGGCTCCACCCCCGGTCATAAAAAGGCGGACATTCCAGGTAGACACCTCCCGTTTGTCCAGACCATGTGTGGCTTTCCCAAGGGGCCTGGCAAGCCTGCTGGGGCTGCAGACAAAGCCAGAACCTCACTCTAATTCAGCAAAATTAAATTAGACAAAAATAGGCCCACGTATACCATAGACATGGAAATACACAACACACAGGACCCAGAAGACCCACAACTATCACCACACAACGATTACTCACAACAGCCACCAACAAAAGCTGTCAGTGTGTGCCAGGCACCCTGTTACCCAGTTCGCAGGCCTGCTTATATTTCATTCACCAACAGTTTTATGAATTAGGCATGATCATCCTTATTTCATAGATGAGGAAATCAAGGCTCAGAGAGGTTAACCAAGTTGCCAAGGTCACACAGCCAGTACATTGCAGAGCAGGGATTTGTACCCAGTCTCTCTGCCTGTTACTAGCTGTGTGATTTGGGGAAAGTCACTTGACCTCTCTGTGTCCCAGCTTTCTCATCTATAAAATAAGGATAATAACAGTGTCTATTTCACAGGGCTGTTGTTGATATGTAAAGCACTTGAAATAGTTCCTGGCACAGTTTAAGAGAGATAATTGTTAGCCGTTATTATTACTATTATCCATATCTTGGAGACAAGGATGAGGCTCGGAGAAGTGAATTGATTTGCCCAAGGTTATACTAACAGTAAGAGGCAGAATTGAAACTGGCCTTGAAGCAGAATTGAAATTGAAGTCAGGTCTTCAGACCCCACATCCAGGGCTCTCTCAGCTGGACCTGCCTCCTCTCTGCTTAGAAATGCAGACTGCTTAGCATCTGATCCCTCGTAACCTGAGTTTGGGGAGCAAGGGCATTTGTGGAGGGAATGTAGTCCACAACCCACATGGTGAGCAAGTGCTTCCTTCTTTCTGCCTTCCTAACCCAAGGGGGCTGGGATAGGAGCAGATCACAAAGAACAAAGCCATCTGGCCTCTGCTCTTCAAGAGATCACAGCTTGATTCCAGGCCAGGTGGCCCGTGGCTGCCCCCGTGCTCCTCACCTTTCTCATGCTGCACTGGGTCCCCCGCCCGGCACAGGGATGCTAGCAGTGGCAGGGCTCTGAGCTGCTGTCTGCAAGCCTGACTGTAGAGCCTTAAGCAACCATCCGGCCTGACTCAGGAGTCAGGAGCCCAAGGTCCTGGATGTTCAGGCACCTGATTGAACAAGGCTGAAAAATCCCTCCAATTAACGGCTAAAAATACAGAGGGACGCGTGACTCCAGTGCCACCCAAGCCTACAGGCCACATATCACATTACGCCTGGCCAAATCCTCAAGAGCCTCCGTGTGCCCGAGCACTCACGGGAGCCTGGCTACTCAGGAGGCCCACTGGCAGCTCCGAAGCACCAGGCCCACCTCTGTCACCCACCCCAGCCTGTGCCAGACTCCATTCCAGGAGAGCTGAGTCCACACTCTCAGAATAGCCATTCTCCTGGACCCCAGCAGCGACCTCCCTCCCCGCCTTAGTTGTATCAGCTGTTCTTTGTTGAGCCCTCGCTAGGTTCCAGGCATTGTTGTGAGAATTCTATGCAAATTATCTCATGCATTCCCCACAAGAGCCACCTCATTATCCCCCGCTTTGCAAAGGCAGAAATCGAGAGGGGTGCAGGATCCCATCCAGGCCACTGCATGTTACTACCTCCTTTTCAGGAGCAAGAGGTGGTTAAGCCAGAACTTTTTGTGCTACCCTGACCTGGTTTCCAAAGTAGAGAAAGAAGAGTAGGCACCTCTGAGCTGCCTGCTGCAGATTCTGCCTTCAGAATCAGGTTTTTGTATGCTCTCAGCCACTATGGGACATAAAAATGCTTGTCCATTTTCTATCAACAAGCCAGTATTGATTTTACAGACTCTGCAAGCCGCTTAAACATCGGGACTAAGAGTCATTGAAAAAGGAAGCTTTATATGAGATACGATGTGCTTGGCAGATGGTGCTGGAGGTCATTTCCAACATGCAGAAAGAGTAGACAGTGAGCCCTTTTTGCTGGGGGCTTACTTGGAAAGAATAGGAAGAGTCTGCTGTTCCAACTTTGGGTCCTGGCGCCACCCTGAATTCCCATGTGACTTTGATCAGGGAATTCAACTTCTTGGAGTGTCAGTTTTCTCTTCTGTAACATAAGACTTCTGACGTTGTGAAGATTCTAGAATTTCACAGTCAGAAAGGACCTCAGGAGTTTTCTTGAGACTAAGCTTCCCCCACCTTGTGAATGTAGAAAACCCATGAAAAATATAAACACACAAAGTACAGGATTCCGAGGAGGTTCTGGGACCCAAGCAGCGGAACCAGATTTAATGTGGTTGAAAAGGAGGCTGCACTGGTCCCCTCTTAAGGCCTGAGGCTTACTGAAGCCTTTCTCGGTTCAGAAGAAACACTGACACCTGAGACTTATCGACAACCAACATGCAGCTGGGTGGGGGACCTGCAGTCACGGCAGCCACCAAAGTGATTTCAGCACCTGCCTCCTCTGCCATGGACACCCTGAGCCCTAAAGTGGCTTCTCAGAGGGTGTGGCAGGATAGGGCCCAGGCCCCAGAGTGACACTGCGAGATGCCATCTGCCCACAGGTTTTCCAGTCAAAAGATGGTGCAAGCAGGTCTTGCTGAAAGTTTACGTTTCTCATTCCCAGGTTGTGCTCTCCTATTTATGACCACCACTTCCCTCTAGAGTTTGCAGCAAGCGTCATCAGCTGCCTTCCTCACATGGGGAAGCAGGAGTCCCGGTGTGTCACAGGGGCTTGCTGAGATCCTCTGAGAAAGGTGGGCCGGCCTGGAACTCTGGCCGCCTGCATCCCCCAGCCTCTACCCTGGAGCTCCCAAACCTGCCAGGAGGTTCTGCTTCAGCCCATCTGCAGGGATGGGCCCCTCCTCACAAGAGCTAAGCCCAGATTGATCCCAGAGAGGTCATTTAGAAAATAACAAACCAAGGAGCCAGGGTTGGTTTAGATCTAAGATGACTTTGTGTTGCCCCAGCCCTGAGATCTGGGTCACGTGCACTAGGCCGTCTCCTCCTCCTGGGGGATCATGATGCTATCCCTACCTCCCTGGGCTCACAGTCCATCCTGGGGACAGGTATGGTGGGAAGGCTGGGCTCAGAACAGCCTCCCCACATAGCATAAAGCATTTCCACACAACTTCTAAACTCTTTCAATGAAACCAAAGATTGCAGGCTCAACTGCCCTCCGAGGCCAGGCAGATCACCTAAGTAACAGAAGCAGGCTGTGTGTGAGAAGGGCTAGGAGGGAGAGGACAAAAGCAGCCAGAGAACTCAGGCCCCACTTAACGGGCAGCCACTCCCTGGACGTAGGAATGTGGGCCCAGCACAGCCAGGGTTCCCAGTGTTTCATCAGAAGCCACCAATTCAAATTTTGTACGTAAAGTCTCTTGCTCCGTTGTTTAGTGAGCCAAACAAAATTCCATGGGCTTTTGACCTAAGGATCCCATTTGATCCTCTGGGTCAGACAGTCAAAGACAGCAAAAAGCTGAGACAGGAAACGGGGGCTATTGTTTCCATTCTACGGCTGAGAGGCTGGGGCTTAGGGAGACCTGTGCCTCGCCACACAGGGAGGGTGACACAGGCAGGCCCAGGCTGAAGATTCAGGCTATCTGGCCAGGCTGGGAGCAGGCCTTTGGATGGGCCAGGGGCTGTCTCCCACCCGCTCCTCTGCCTCTGCCCCCACAGAATGTCTCTCCACAGCCAGTCCTCTTTGGAAGCCCCACCTTCAGGGATCTAACATCTTGGCGTTCTTCTCACTGCCACCAGCCGCTGCATGTCATCACCACTACCACAGCATCATCACCAACATGCCGCCCCCTCCTCCCCCCACCACCACTGCCTTCCCAGCAGAAATCACAGCAGGCCTTCACCGGGTGCATGGCCTGAGGGTGGGGGCTGGTCTGCAGCTCTGGGGGCCTTCCCTCTAACATTTGTTTCCATGAACCTCAGGGTGAACAGAGCCAAGCCAGCATCCAAGGTCCACCAGGGCCCCCAGGCCCCCCTGGACCAAGTGGACCTCTGGGGCACCCAGGACTGCCAGGACCCATGGGGCCACCCGTAAGTATTCCCTTCCTCTCTCCTTCAAGACTTGTCCCAAGAACTCTCTGGAAACCTCCAAACCTTGAATAGGCAGTGGGTCCCCTACAAAAAGCAGAAATGCCTTGGCAGGGCCATTGGATGTGGGTGAACCATGCAAGGGGCTATTCATCCCCAGCACACTCACCACCCGTTGCACTCTGGCTCTGAAACACAGCCTGGGCCATGTCCGCTGCCTTCCAGGGAGGAGACCGCCAACGACCTGCCCCGTTCCTAGCCCCAGCAGAGAGGAATTTGGAAAGAGAATTCCCAAGGGCACTTCTGATGGCTATGCCTGAGCCCCTTAGGAAAACCTGAGTCAGGGGCAGTGGGTTTTGAAGGAGGTAGTGAGGGGTCATCCGACTACCTGGCACCCCAATGAACAAGACTTCCAGGGGTGTGTGCAGGTTTCACACTGCTGGGCCACCTGCCAGCTGAGCTGAAGGCCCAGTCAGCCAAGAGCCCTGCGCCAAGCCTGAGGATGCATCAAGCCTGCAGGGCCTGCAGGGCCACTGCCTGGAGGACTCCAGAGAGGCCAACTGGCACCCCTCCAGGCTGGACCACATTCAAGTGACAGGTCAAGCCCAGTGGTCACCAAGTCACCCATGTTCAAGCCCTGGCTAAGACTCCACTCTTTCTCAGCCCAATTTATACAACAAAGCCCCAGGACAGAATAATTCAGTGGGTACTTGGACTTCAGAGAAAACGGGTCTTCCTCCCACCCATAAGACTAATGTTATTGGAGAGGCAGGTAAAGGGCAAAATGCTTTTCAAATAATGTTTTTCTCATGTGGTAGAAAAACCAAAACAAAACCTGTTTTTCCTTCTTATGACAAAAGCACCATAAATTCATTATGAAAAGAATGGAACATAGACAAAGAAACATAATGTTTGTGCGCATCTCTGAGAGTTTTGCTGGAATAGAGTCCCAGAGGTGGAATCCCAGAGGCCAGATGTCCCCAACAAATAGCACTCCGTGTGTACGGCCACATTCTAGATGGCCTGGTTGCATGTCTGGGCCCCTTGGCTGCCCAGCTTTCAATCTCGAAGCTTGTTATAGGGTCTCCCTGGGCTGGGCCATAGCTATGGCCAAACAGGGCACCCACCTTGGCTGGGAAGGCCAGCACAATGACCCCTACAATGCTTGACCCCTACAATGAATTTTTAATTTTTCCACAATTTCTCCCCAGCACCCCACAGAGGGGGTTTAGTCTTATTTCCACCAGTTTTCAGATGGGAAAACCTGAAAGGAAGGGAAACTTAGGAAACGGAACCAAACTAAGGCAAGAAAACCAAAAAGCGCTCAGAATTCACTTTTTGCTGACCACTGCCCTTTCCACCCCACCCCGCTGCTAACACTTTGGGCTCTCACTCACTGAACCCAAGCCAGGTGGCTTTCTTTGTTAGATTGTTTATAACAACAACAACAACCAAAAAAAGAAAACCAGAGAGCATGTTTCTTAAACCAATTGCAACAGACCAGACTCAGGCATCATGGCTTTCTCCAGCCCACGTTTGCTGTCCACACCTACACCCAAGGCTGCGGTGGAGCCAGCCTTCCCTGGCCTCTCCCTCGACTCACACCACCTCACTGTGGCCAGCTGCCATGCCCACAGCACCCTGGGCAGAAGGAGACAGAGGGCTCCTCCGCCGGCAGGCAGGACCAAGGGCAAAACCAAGGCTCTGCTGGGCAAGGCCAGCTTTCTAGGGAGGGGTTCCAATTAGGAGGTGGGTGAATGAGGATCTGGACCAAACCACACTGTCAATTTAGCATGATGCCGCTGACCTACTTTCCATGGGCGAGCACAGCAGAGTTGCCCACGGCGCCCACATGGCTGCAAAGAGGGACATAAGCCTGTTATCCCCACGTGCCCTCAGCAGGTTTCAGATCCCCTTCTGGGGTCCGCTACCGCTGTTGGCTAGCATGCCTATTCTCTTGCCATAGCTACTGGGGGCTACTCTGCCCCTAGGGTCCACTGTAAGTATGGCTAGCCCCAACCATTTACCAGTGGAAACCAGCTCTACTCACCTTTTTTTTTTTTTTTTTTTTTTTGCTTTCACAGGGCTTACCTGGGCCTCCTGGACCAAAGGTGAGTGTCCTTCTGGGTGATGTGTTGAACAGGTGGGAGAATTCCCTGACTGAGGCAGGAGCAGAGAGGGATCTCAGCTGAGAGATGGATCAAGCTTGACCCACTTCCAAAACACCACCCTCCTCTTAGGAACTAATTTGATTCCAACAAGAATTTCACTTCTTGTGTGCCCAGGCCAATGAAGCAAGTGCTACGGGCCTGCATTGAAGGCACAGTCCACCATCTGAGGAGCATAGTGTCTAGCTGGAAACTAAGCTCATGCCCAGAACACCATCACAATATCCAAATAAAATAGTGTTTTATGAGGTGTCAGAATCGGAAGAGACCTCTAGGGTCATCCAGTCTCCAGAGAACCCTCACCCAGAAGCCCACAATGTCAAACAGGCTCTCCCTTTGAAGCTGGGGACCCTGGGGCTCTGGGGACAAGAAGATGCCAAGCACTGATTGTGCCCAACTATTTTATACATGCAGAAGCTGAGAGCCCTGGGGGAAAGTGGCTTGTCCATGTTCAGTGGAATCAGGTCTCCTCGGTCCCTACCCAAGTGACTCTTCCCACCATTCCTCAGCCTCTGCAAAGTGGAGCTGGTTCTCAAGAGTAGAACAATCTATGTTGGCCTCAGAGGAAGCTAAGAGCTGTTGCTCCTAGGAAACCTGGAGATGAGTGTTGAAGGGGCAGTGGAGCTTGGAGTCATTGAGGGGAAGAGGGATGGTATTGCGTGGGGAACAGCACAAGTCAAAGTTTGGCAGTGGGAAAACCTCTTTAATGGCCATCTCTTTATTTCCCCAGGGAGACCCAGGGATCCAGGGCTACCACGGCCGGAAGGTAAGATGGAGGAGAAGGATCTAAGTGGGGCAGGACTTTGGACAAAGCAGTGGCCTACTGGACCTCAAACCCAAGAGGGTCTCTCCCTTCCAACCTAGATGGCTGTGCCTGTACAGAGGCAGGCCAGGTTCTCACTGGCCCCCCGAGGGCCTGATAAGTGGGAGCCAGATTACTGGGATCCAGCTAGGCAGAGTTCTTTCTGTGCTGAGCAAGGATGTAGGACATGGAGGGGTCCAGCTCTCAAGGGCCAGAGAGTCAGAAGCACTCCTGCACAAATAACCCCAGTGAAGGCAGACTTTATTAAGTGCTACTGTCACAAGCCATGGCGTAATTAAAGGAGATGGAGAGACAAATTTCAGATTGAGAGAAGTTTGGGAAATATTCTGGGAGAAGACAGCCTGAGAACTCAACCTTGATGAATGGGTGGAGGTATCAGTTATCTATTGCTGCGTAACAAACCATTCCAAGTTTACTGACTCTCTGTCACAATTCTGTGGATTGACAGTCTGGGAATTCTACTATTCTCACCTGGGCTCACTCATGCAGTCACACCAAATGACAGCTAGAAGGATGGGAGGGGACAAGATGGCCCCATTCACATGTCTGGTGGTCAATGCTGGCTGTGGGCTGGGGGCCCCTGTTCTCCACATGGCCTCTTATCCTCCAGGAAGCTAGACAGACTTCCTTACAGCACAGCAGATCCAGGGCAGCATTCAAAATGGGCAGGTCCCAGTGCATAAAGACTTGTCGCATATCTGCTTGTATCACATTTTCTAATGTCTTATTGGTGTGGGAAGAGTCTTAGGCTCTACTTGTTCATTGGAGGAGTAGAAAGCATTTGTGGCCTTGTTTTTTTGTTTTTTGTTTTTTGTTTTTTGAGACAGAGTCCCACTCTGTCACCAGGTTGGAGTGCAGTGGCACGATCTCAGCTCACTGCAAAACCCGCCTGCCAGGTTCAAGTGATTCTCCTGCCTCAGCCTCCTGAGTAGCTGGGACTACAGGTGCGTACCACCACGCCCAGTTAAATTTTGTATTTTTGGTAGAGACGGGGTTTCACCATGTTGGCCAGGATGGTCTCAATCTCTTGACCTCGTGATCTGCCCACCTCGGCCTCCCAAAATACTGGGATTACAGGCGTGAGCCACCACGCCCGGTTGTGGCCATTTTTAATCTACCACTGTGGGCCTTCAACCAGAAAATATGAATGGAAACAATATTTTAGATAGGTAAACAATTTGAGCAAAGACCCAGAAGCAGTCATTACCATAACTATAATAGCAATAATAATTTTATGGTAGTCACTACTTACTGAACACGTACTATGGTCCAGGCACTGTCTTTCAACACAAACTGCATTATTTTTAGCCCTAAAAGCACTCTGTGAGGCTGATATGACTATTCTCCTATTTTAAAAATGAGAAAACTGTCTGTCTTGGTCCATTTCATGTTGCTATAACAGAACACCACAGACTGGGTAATTTATAAAGACAAGAAACTTATTTCTTACCATTGTGGAGGCTGGGAAGCCCACAGTCAAGGAGCCCATATCTGGTGAGGACCTTCTTGTTGTGTCATCCCGTGGTGGACAGTGGAAGGGCAGGAGAGGGCGAGAGAACATGAGCAAGAGAAGGCTGGGCTTGCTTTTATAACAAGCCCACTCTCGCAATCACATACCCACTCCCACAATAACTAACCCACTTCCACGATAACTAACCCACTCCCACAATAACTAACCCACTTCCAACCCACTCCCACAATAACTAACCCAATTCCATGATAACCAACCCACTCCCACAATAACTAACCCAATTCCATGATAACCAACCCACTCCCACAATAACTAACCCAATTCCATGATAACCAACCCACTCCCACAATAACTAACCCATTTCCATGATAACCAACCCACTCCCACAATAACTAACCCACTCTCACAATAACTAAACCACTCCCATGATAACTAGCCCACTCCTGCAATGACAAACCCATTCCCACGATAACTAATCCACTCCCACAATAACCCACTCTTACAATAACTAATTCACTCCCACAATAACTAACCCATGATAACTCCCACTCCCACGACAGCAACATTAATTTATTCACGAGGACAGAGCTGTCATAATCTAATCACCTCCTAAAGGTCCCACCTCTCAACACTGTTGCACTGGGGATTAAGTTTCCAACACAAGAGCTATAGGGGATACATTCAAACTACAGCACTGGAGCTTGTCCAAAGTCTCCTGGCTCATAAGTGGCAGAGCAGGAGTTCAGTTCCAGGTCTGGGTCCTTCCCATGGTACCACCTGCTGTAAAGAGCACAACCCTGCCCTCCAGACCCTGGCTGGGAAGCTGCTAGAGCCTTCCAAGAGGAGAAAAGAGGCAGGAAGGAAAGGCAGCAGCAGGAGAGGGGCAGAAATGTTGGAAGGGGAAGAATCACTCCCTGCAAAGCACATTCCTCGCACGCTGCAGTCAGGAGGTTGCCATAACCACATGGCTTTATGGGTGCCTGGTGAATGAAATGGCAAGACCTGAGAGATCTTTAATTAGTTCTACATAAACTAAGACATTTGTATTGTATCAGGAAGTGGAAATCAGCCCCCGCAGTTGCCTCTATCCACTCACACAGACTCATAAAATTTACTGCCTCCTGGTGCAACGCGGGGTCGGTTTTTCATTAGCAGCCGGGCCAGCTCTTTCAAGCTGTGAAGGAGTTGCAGGGCAGCAGAGGGTCTCCAGGCATCACGGTGATGCCCTTGGCTGGCATTATACCATGACAGGTGTCTGCATTCTGCTGCAAACTGCAAGACTGATTCATCCAGAGAGGGGCATGGGGTCTGCTGTCCTGAGTACGGAGAATCCTCTGCTTGGGGTTAGGGTGTCCTGATGCTAGAGGGCCTGTCCCGGGAGAGTGGCGATCCTAGACTCAGACTGTAGGAAGAAACATTTAACCCAGGCTACATTGAATTTGCAGAGAAGACCAGCGTAGCCCTGCTGATGGGGGAGCACTTCCTGTCCCCAGGACGCGGGAGATTTGCTCAGAGCCTCCCTGCTCTAGTGCGGAAGAAGGATCATACTTCTTTTGCATGACTAGAAGTAGAGCAAGTGCCAATGAATAAACTCTACGAGAAGAGCAATTCCAGCTCCAGAAGAGGGAGCTTCCTAATCGCCAGATGCCTTGGGAAGGTGGGAGGGAGTTCTGGTCACCAGAGGTGTTCAATTAGAGGCTAGATAATGACTGGTCCAGGATGTGTTTAGAGAGGTCTCTATATCAGCTGGGAGACTGGATTAAAATCCCTGCCAGCTCAGGGAAGCCATAGCTTCATGGGGACAGAGGTGGCTTCATACCCTTAAGAGAGGAGCAGCTCTGAGCCTTGAGCCCTGACCTTGAGAGGAGGCTCTGTCTCCTTGAACCTTCGTCCACGCCTTTTCTCTGTCCACATCCAGGGCTTGTCAGAAGCATCCCCACTCCTAGGTCTCACGAGGCACTGAGGAGAAGACCCTTCCCCTTCGTGCTGGACTCTTGCCTCCCAGCCCTTCTTTCTCTGCCAAACCACCCTCTCTGCTCTTCTCCAGTGGCCTCTTCTCACGGAATCTGGAGGGGCTGTGAGGCCATCATGCCCCATCACCGCCTCTCTGGGTCACTAGAAGGTTCCCATTGCCTCCACCGCTCCCAACCTATCACTGAGTCTTTTCAGTAGGTGCCACTGGAGCCACTAGCCTTGCAAAGCCAACAGCCCATGGCTGGTCTGGGCACCCTTTCCTCTGTGCTGGCCTTTATCTGCTGGGACCCTTATCTTGCCACCAACTCTCCACTGCCTCCAAGTCCACCAAAGGCCAGAGGGCTGGCACTGGAAACTGTGACCAGCAGCAGACGGCCCGTCACCAAGGACTTGAGGTCATTCCTTGGGAGGCTACAAGTGCCTCTCCCATTGCCCCAGCCTCACCGGGACGGCAAATGTCTTGACGCCAGTGATCACCATGGTCAGGCAGAAGTTTGTTCCCCTCTGAATCTTGTGATGAAGTGACTTTTCATCTTTGGGCAGTACAGCAATATTTCACATCTCTACTTTAGAAAGTTCATTTTTTCAAACTTATTCAGTTCTTACCATGGCTCAGTGGTTAGAGCTCATTATCCTGATTGTATAAATGAGAAAGGTTAATACTTGGCCCAAGGTTGCACAGCTGGTAAACAGCCATGCTGGAATTAGAAACCAGGCCTCATCAGTCCAAGCCCTGTGGCCAGTCTGTCTTTGCACCCTGGTGCAGAAGTTGAATGTCTGCTCAGGGGACTCACCCCAGGCTAAGCTAACTGCACAGACCAACCCTCCCAACCTCCGCCTACTAATGGTTTCTCTGGGATGTGGAGGGCTGTTCCCCCACCTCCCTTCTTTTGCCCATCAGTCCTCTCTTTAATTCTTTCCTCCATGCTGTGCTCTCTGCTTGGAGTAAGGCCCAGGGAGGAGGCACTAACATGAAGGGTGGCTTGGTCTCAGGGACTGGGAAGATGAGTTTGGCCTCCCCCACCACCCTGGGGAGGAACAGTGCCAGCAGCTGGGGATGCCAAGCTGAGACAGGGGCCATGTGACTGCCTCTTGAGGTCAGGATGTGAGCAGGACCTGTGGGGTAGCTGATGGGCCCCAACGTGAGCTTCCTTGCTTCACCCCAGAGATCTGACCCACTTGGAGGGACGGACACCTTTCTGACACCATAGGCTCTCAGCCTATGAAGTTTGCTAATGTCCACCACCACCCCCAGCAGCTGGACTGGGCCTGGCATCCTCTGAAAGGCCAGCCAGACCCACAAGGTAGGCTTCTCCACCAGTTCCTTGAGATAAAAGCCCAGTGTGGTCAGTGGCCCCTGTGCTGCCCCCATGCCCCAGTCGGAGCCAGCCCTCCCGCCTAGACACTGCGAGTATTGTTGTGCACCCATGTGGTATCTATTTGATCCAAATTTATGACACCGATCTACTTTAAATATGTTGCAAGATGCAAAGCGTGT